GCCTGAGGACCAGGAATGCCAAGGTGACCGAATTCAGAAGGGCCCCTTCAGTCAGGAGCCATGAGAACCACTGGCAGGTGTTTGAGCTCGTTGTGGCTAGGACCATGGGAGCATGCATGGGTGGAGACTGGAGGGCAGACACTGTCAGTGACTGTCTACCTAATCTGAAAAGGGACAATTTGTAGAGCAGGGGAGGGGAGGAGAGGGGAGCAGGGACCAGCATTCGGGTGCAGACTGTGTGGGGAGGACAGGCGATTGGGGAAGTGGTCTTGACGGAAACAAGGTAGAGGGTGGGGAAGGAAGGTGAGAAAGGAGAAGGTTGGGGTCCAGGAGTCAGACCCTGAGGTGGGAAGTTCCTATGCTCCAGGCTCCTGCTTCACATGTAAGAGTACCAAAGAACAGATGCCTGTCTGCATCCGGGACATCTCAGTCCCATTATCTGGAGCCTGAAGATGATTGGTGTGACCTGATGGAGGACCAGGTGATTCTGCCAGCCTAGAAGATGACACCTGTGAGAGGCCCCCTCCCCTAGAAACAGCTTCTCAAAAAGCCTGTTATTGGGCGCAGCTGGTTTGGCATGCTTGTCTGAGGAATGCAGGCTGACCCCAGGGCATGAAGCATCCGAGCCAGGACAGTTTTTGCAAAGTGCCCTTCGACTCAAGCAGGCTCAGCAAGGTCACAGTCAGTGTCTCAGTTGATCAGTGACTGGGTTGGTAGGTTACACCCAGGCCCACCCAGTTCAGCCCAGGGTAAGGGGGTAATTAGCCACAGATTGTTTGAGGTATAGGGATCTCAGAGGCCATTTTCCAGTCCCACCCCTGTCTCCATCCAACATTCTTTCCCCTCAGCCTAAGGCTGCTTGGCTTGAGGAAGCTCTTGCTGGTGTACTGGGCCACTAGAGCCTTGCAAAGTGCAAGAGTTCCTCCTCTGATCCAGCAAACACTCTGCTACTTCCGGGTCTTCCCTGGACCCCACTCCTTTGAAATGACCTTAAACAAGACACCTGGTATCTGCTTGCTAATAAGTTCAACACTAAACAAATCCACACCTAACTGTGGCTGTCAGTGTATAACAGAGTGTTCAAGGTGGAAGACAGCATTACAAATCACGCTTCCTCTAGCGACCTGAGACCCCCTCTCTTTTCCTGACATCTGCATTGATGCCTTGGTCTAAGACATGAGAGAAACGCTTATCCTAAAAGACAAAGCCATGGACATCTAAGGCTCAGGATACGTAAATGTGTGTGGCGGTCTTCCAAAATAAAACCTCAGTCAAGAAGACCTACCTTTCAGAAGGCCACGGGGTCATGGGCCAGCAGGTACCTGCTCCCAAGAGCACAGCAGGCATTCAAGTTAGCCAGTCCCAGCTGCCAACTCAGCATGCCACATTCATTAGGGAGCCTGCCCACCAGGACTACCCACTGCTCATTAAGCCCCATACAGCACATGAGAGGAAAGCTAAGCACATGTCATTTTTGCTTGAGGAACACCCGCTAAGGAAACTGACCCAAGCAGAGCCACAATGATGGAGACTAGATGCCACATATTAGACAGGGAAACGAGATGCTTCCTTTCTTATTGCTGCTTTCGTGAGTGACCCCAAGCCCAGAACAAGTCTCGCTGTGTTGAGAGGAAGAGTGGCCGTGTTCCACTGGAGGCCGGGAAGAGTCAGCTCTGTACCTTTCCAGTGCCGGCTCTACATTCCTTGAATCCTGAATTCTCTCACCATATTCAGAGTCAGCAGCACCATGCCTCCATCTCTTGCCTCTTTCCTTTGCTGGGGAATACTCCCATGGTCATAGAGGGCTTTTTAGATAACACTGGGACCCTCCACTGAATCCTTGATCTAATGATTTCTACGAGTCTCCTTTGCTGTTTGAGATCACAGGTCCAATGGCCTGGCATTAGGAAGGGGCATGTCAAAGGCTTTGAATCTGCCCCCTATGGCTGGAGAACCGCAAACTCTCCCTTTGGGAACGATCACACTGGGCTGGACTAAGGCTTTGCTAGGTTTCAATGCAGAAGTCCTTGGCATGGGTGGGAGCTATAGGCGGCAGGCTGCTACGCAGAGCATGAAAGGATACTTTGTTTTTGTCCTTGGTTTGGTTACTTGTTTTTAAGAAAGAGTCAAGAGGGGCTGGAGATATGGCTCAGTGGTTAAGAGCACTGACTGCTCTTCCAGAGGACCTGGGTTCAATTCCCAGCACCCACATGGCAGCTCACAACTGTCCAAAGATCCAGTTGCAGGGAATCTGACACCTTCACACCAATGCACATAAAATAAAAAGTTAAATAAAGCATACAAATATTAAAAAAAAAAAAAAAAGAAAGAGTCAAGATCTGCTTGGCTGCTTCCAGTCCTTGTTCCCCACGGAGGAGCAATCAAGCCTCAGGACTCAACTAAGGAAGACTTTACTCTGTGCAGAGCTGTTAACCGAACTACGGTCCCAACGCCTCGCTCATTGGCTGGAAAGATCAATACCCCTCCCAGTGCTCAGGGACTTCAGCCAACCACAGTGAGGGCTGTGCAAGGGAGGGCCAGGGTGCACAGTGCTCTAAGAGATCCAAGAGGTTCCCCGAGGCTCATCGTGGGGTAGCCTGTGTTTGTCCTAAATCCCTTTGGTAGGTTGCAAGTCAACATTTTAGCAGAGAATACCTTTGTCAAAGAAGGACCAATGGCCAAATTTCATTCACACCATCTCCTCAGATCAGCTGAGAAGAACCCAAGCCAAGGACGAATCTAAACTTGAGCTTAAAGGGGACCGAAAAAAAGATACTGACGTCCTTTCTCTTTTCATATCACATGGAAAGTCAATTGATGTAACTTGGATTTCTGTCTTCTGGGGGTCTGGCTGCTTCAGCCAGGTATTTCTAGGGGAGAGGAAGGGGGCTTTGGCAGTGGGGTGTCTGGACACAGGAGAGACATAGAAAAGTCTTGCTTAGATCTCCCATACACCTGTTATCTCTGAGTCACTTTATTGGCCCTGTCTCGAGGGTGGAGGGAGGGAATAGAGCAGACACAAGCTTGCCATCCTGGTGAGCAGTGACGGGGGACTCCTCCCTGCCTGAGAGCTTCTGTGTGAACGACACTTGTATTTGCCTTACCATCTTACACCCTGGGAAGAATGGAGAAACTGAGTCAGAGGAGAGCTGTGGGCCTTGGTTCCTGCTGGGTAGGGAGCAGCCTGTAGCTGCTGTCAGCAATGGCCCCACCCTTAAAATCCTTCCTTTCTCTCCTGACCTTCCTTCTTCTTTACTTCCTCTCCATCCATTTCTCCTTCCTTCTTTCCTTCCTTCCTTCCGTCTTTCCTTCCTTCCTTTCTTTTTTGTTTGTTTTTTTTTTTTCATAACAGGGTTTCTCTGTGTTGCTTTGGAGGCTGTCCTGGAACTAGCTCTTATAGACCAGGCTGACCTCAAACTCAGAGATCTGCCTGCCTCTGCCTCCTGAGTGCTGGGATTAAAGATGTGTGCCACCACCGCCTGGCCCATTTTTCTTTTTATATTCTGATTTTCTCTTCATCAAAAGCCAAGTCCTCCCCTCCTCCCAAGTAATATTCAGCTCTCAGGGAACTCATTTCATACTTGAAGGACTAGAGCCCCTAGATCAATATAGCTAGGAGTGTTCCCTTGACAGACAGGCCTCTGTATCAGCTAATCTGGTCCATGCCCAGAGAAAAGGGAGTATGCATTTGGTAGCTAGGAGACTGTTGATCCCATGACAGCTCTCCTGTCACCAAAGAAACTCACTCCTCCACTCTGAACCTCGTGTTCTTGTCAGCCATAAAGAGGACTAATATTGACTATCTCCTGGTTGGTTATAAGGGACAACTGGGATCACAGTGGAGGGCGTGCTTTATGGTCACTAAAGGTACATTGGCTGCACAGCCCCTGAAATACAGAGCTCTCCCAAGCGCTGGATTTAGAAACACCAGGGCCAGTGCTGACTAATCAAGCCCAGGGATTACTGGCACTGTGGTCAAGCAGGGCGGAGGGCTGGGCTGAGGGTCACTGGGCAGAGGCTGCTCATTGTTTTCTCCCCTCGGGTGTCACCCTCTCACTCTAGACCAGCCACTGGACTCAATTAATGTTTGTTTCTTTACGATGCTGATGGATCATCCTGTAACATTCCAGGGCCTAATAAGGGGGTGCAGGCTGCTGGGTAGTGAGTCCTGGAATCTCCCTGCCTGCGGCACACCCTGGAAGGATGGTGAGCTTTAAAGGCTGGGAAGCCCAGAGAAACTTCCCTCAGAACAGACAGAGTCAGTTCCAGCATCAGCAGAGGCTCAGATCCCCATCTACTGAGGTTCTAGGAAGGTAAGCCAAGCACACCCCACAAAGGGAGGCTGGCGGTAGATGGAAGACATCCTACAGGAGGGACCCAGGGCAAGGAGGATCTGAGTCTTCCCAGAAGACAAGGAACCTTCCAGAATTACAGAGTTAGAAGAGAAGCAGATAGACTTCATACAGGTATGGCCTCCCTTTCCCGGGACCACATGTGGATTCCAAGGGCTGCATCTGGATGGTAGTAAAGGAACTGAGATGGTGTAAGGCCCGGTGTCACAGGCAGTGGAGCGGGTCATCAAGGGACTTCATATCCCGGCAGGTTTATGAAACAGAACAGTTGAGGGAGTGGTAGGTGACACCTTCCTAAGGGAACGTCATGGAGGGCTGAACACAGGTATGAGACGTGAGGACGAAAGCCAGGGAGTTATTTGAAAGCTAGCGTAGAACGGCGGCTTCTGTTTCCAGACGAAGGGAACGGGAAAAGAAGCAAGTTATTTAAAGGGATGACCATTGTATGTAGATTAGCATCGTTAAGGTAAAAACTGAAAACACATAGAAGGATGAAAACACATTTATTAAGTAACTTTATTGCTTGATAAAGAGAAAAGGGAATAAAGTCGAGGAAGAGATTACACAGGGCTTCCAACACAATCTGTTGGTTTTGACACTGTTTAAAAATTGAATCAAGTGCTAGGCAGTGCTGACGCACGTTTTTAATCCCAGCACTCAGGAGGCAGAGGCAGGCAGATCTCTGTGAGTTTGAGGCCAGTCAAAGAGAGAGAAGTCTGAATATGTCATGAAGCTGGCTGAAATGTCTGAAGCTGTCCTCCACACTTCAGTTCTGAATGTCCTGGAGTTTGGGACAACCTCACGGCTGGTAGGACCCCAGGGCAGAACCCCGTAGAAGTGAGTGGGCATTTTGTTTCACCCCTGGCTTTGCCTCTCTACTTTCCAGAGAGCTTGGTATAGAATAGTAAATCAGTTTGCCAAATGAACAACACATGAAGAGGCAGGGAGACGCATTAGAACACGTGGGCTCTAGACTAGCCCATCAAAACAGCTGCCACTGGGCCCCAGAGACCAACCCACTGTCTTTACCTAGCAGGGATTACCTCAAAGCAGGGACAACCCTTACCCTCACCCTACAGGTGAACAAAACAGGCTTCATGGGAGAAAGCATGTCCCAGAGAATAGTGGTTAGAAAGTCCGCATTACACACACACACACACACACACACACACACACACACAAATCTGGATTTTTAAGTTATAAGTGGCTCCAGATACCCTAAAATAACACACAGGACCAGACTGAGGGTGGTGGTTCCCAGCACCCGAGAAGCAGCATGTACAGGAAGCACACAGTGAGGAAAAGGGAGGGCGTCACCAAGGAGGCAATAGTTGAAGCTGGTGTTGAATTAGTACATGCAGACAGATTTCAGGATCCAGCTCTTTCTCCACCACGTGCCCTGACAGCATTGGGAGGATCCATGGCTGTGGCCTGTGAGCAGAACCCAAGCACACAGGACTGAGATCACAGATACAGACAGACAGATATAACTGGTTTGGATATAACCTTCTGTTTGAGAAAATTTACTCTTTTATATACAGAGGGGGTAAATATCTTCTTTAAAAATCATGATACCTGCTGAGTATGGCAGCCCAAGCCCTATAACCCCAGAGCTCAGACAGGACGATCTCAAGTTCAGAAGCAGCCTGGGCTGCAGGGTTACCCAGTGTCTCAGAAATAAAGAGGGTGTGGGATGAGAACGGAACTGTATACTCTTTAGTAGTGACTATGGTTCCCGGAGCAGTTTCTGTATGCAGGGCACTGGGTTAAGTCTTTGTGGGTTTTATTACCTTTAAGTCTCACACCAGCCCTGTGAGGCCGGCACTGTTTTGTCCCCTTTCAGGGATGAGGAAACCCAGGCTTACAGGATGTGTGTACAAAGTCCTCAGGGGTTAGTACATGGGGATACCGAGACAGAAGCCGCAGTTGTCAGTTCCCAGTGCATGTGTTTAACCACTGCCTCTCCCAAGCACAGACAGCCAATTAAGGCAACAAGGGTTTAATTGCTCTCAATTGGAAGGATAAATGGGAATGTGCTACAAGCGCCATCCATGGAAACCAAGCTATCATTACGTTCATGAGCACCTATCTATCACACGGGCACAGCTCCATAAATGCTTATGAAATGAGGTGGCATTTACCTCTAGGAAATGGGAACCAAATGACATTTCCCTGGTGCAAAGCAATGGAAACTCCCAGAAGGCCAATGGGACATACGGAGCAGCTCCCCAAGCTTCCTGGCACATGGCTTCTCCAGATGAGTTCCGGAACCCCTCAGCCAGGCTTTGGCTCCTGTGTAGGGAGCCCTGTTTCTGAGCAAGCCTCCTCTGTGATGGACTGAGCCAGGACACACGGGAGCTCCCAACCCCATATCAGTGGCAAATGCCATTCCAGTCAGGTCAGGAGTGGGTGCCAGGAAGTGGCCCTTGTCCCTGGGGGTGGGGATGGGAGCTCCTGTGTGTTCTAGCTCAGCCCAAGAGGCTTACCCTAAAATTCGTCACTGGATCAGAATCCAGCGCCCTCCTAAACAGTCCTCACAAAGAACCTGAAATGAGAACAAAAAAGAACGGACACGAATCTCCTTTCAAGTAGAAAGAGACAAGAAGACTCCAGCTTTCTCCTTGGAAAAGTCATCAATTCTGGGATTCGTTTTATGCAGGTGTTCCATCAGTAAATGTTACCCAACCCTTGCCGGGTGCAGGAAAGGTCTTGCCCACCTAGGAGTGTCCTCAAACCCAGAAACTAAGAAAGCGCCTCAGGGTGGGATCAGATGAGTCAAACACAAGCCAAGTTTCCTACCCCCCACCCCGAAGCTAACAACAGAGAAGGGAACTGAGAACAGGCTAGCAAGCGTAGTGATTTACAAAAGGCACATCTTAGGAGAGGGGAACAGAAGAAACAAACAACGAGAGAGCGAAGAAAAAGAGGAAGAAAAAGCAGGGGAGAGAAGAGAGGGCGTGGGAAAAGGCGGAAGGGCGCAGCATCCTGACTGGATTCTCCCTGGGGCCCCGTCCACCACTCTGGTCACGTTTTAATTAGTTACATGAATTTTCCATTGCCTTAAACAAGAGCTTCTCTCTGATTAATGTTCGAAACAGCTGGCCGATTTTAATCATGACAAACACGATGATCACGGCTATGATGGCCTGAGCTACTAAAAGCAGAACATAAAGACCCCAGTAGAGGCTGTGATCGGAACCTTCATCCTTGGCCACCAGTTGGACCCACTCACGGGACTGCGAGCTGTGAGGCAGCTGGGACGGGGCGGGGACTTCCAGGGTGTTCTCGGCTAGAGGGTTGAGAGGCAGGCGTCGAGGGTGCGGGCACCATGGGTCACCCTGCAGTAGGTCCCAGAACAACAGGCCCGCGCGTGGCTCCGGGCCAAGGCACTGCGGGGGCTCGTCTCGGCTCAGGAGGTCTTGATGATGCCGCAGCCACTGGAGGAAGGGCCACAGACCACAGTCGCAGAGCCAGGGGTTGTGACCCAGCAGGACCTGAGTCAGCTGGGGCAGGGCCGCGAACACATCTCCAGGCAGCATCTCCAGCTGGTTGTGCTCCAGCTGCACGGTCTCCAGGCTGCTGAGGTTGAGGAAGAGCGTGCGGGGCAGGGCCCGCAGCCGGTTGTGGCGCAGCGACACCTGGCGCAGGCGGCCGAGGTCGCGCAGCGCGTCGTCCGGGAGCTCGGTCAGGGCGTTAGAGTGCAGGGCGAGCACGCGCAGCTCTGTAAGGCCCTGGAACGCGCCGCGCGGGAGCGCGCTCAGGCGCGGGTTCCGCGTCACCCCCAGCGTCTGCAGGCCGGTCAAGTTGCGGAAGAAGGCGGCAGGCAGCGTGCGCAGCTGGGTGCGGTTCAGCCACAGCTCCCGCAGACCGGCCATCTCCCCGAACAACACCTCTGGCAGCTCCTCTAGAGGGTTCTCGAACAGGGTCAGCCAAGTCACGCGGCTGGTATTAAGGAAGAGCGCGTGTGGCAGAGAAGCCAGGCGGTTTCTGGACAGAGTCAAGGAGCCCAGGTTTCCGAGGCTGTCGAAGGCACCGGGTGCGACAGAATAGAGGTGATTCCTGTCCAATCTCAGCACAGTCAGGACGCCCAGGTTATCCAGAAGCCCCGAATCCACAGACGCAAGCTGGTTTGAGTAGAGCAGCAGTGTCTCTAGTTTAACCTGCGCCCCAAGCAATCCCTTGGGCAGGTGGGTCAGGTTGTTTCCCGATAAGTCCAACACCTTCAGCTTCCGCAGGCTCATGAAAAGGTTAGCAGGAAGAAAAGAAAGCTGATTCTGGTTCAAACAGAGCTCCTTCAGGTTAAGCAGGTTCTGAAACAGGTTTTGGTCAAGGTCCCTTAGTGAATTGTGGTCCAAGAACAACTGTTCCAAGAGCACCGTCTTATCCAGGAGCGCGCCTGGAAGATGGGAGATTCTGTTGCGCGTCAACCTGAGGGTTTTTAGTTTTATCAGGTCATTGAAGGTGCCCGGGTCGATGGCGGAAACGTGGCTGTTTGAGAGCATCAGGCGCTGCAGGACTGTCATGCCACTGAAGCTGTGGTTCCGCAAAACGCCCTGATCCATTCCGAAGAATACCATGTGTGTGAGGTTCCTGGGCAGACCTAGCGCGGCGATGCTAGCCACGCTGCTGCCCGAGCACTGCACAGCATCGCGGACCTCACACTTGCAGGATTTAGGGCAGAGGAAGGGCTGGGTGCGCACGAGTGCGAGCACCGTGCACAACAGGGTGCTCCTTAGCATGTCTGAAAGGCAATGACACAAGGATCAGATCAGATCTTGGAGTCCGGCATCTGCTGCAAGCAAAGCTCTTTGGCCAGCATTCTCACTGCCTTGGAATGTTGCCCAGATACAGCCAAGTCTCCCTTCATTCTTGTAATTACAAGGGCCGATTAAAAAATAAACTACTTTTCTATTCAGTTTATGTGGGTGCTGGAGATTCTAGCTCATGCTTGCCGGGCACATATTCTTACCTACTGAGCCATCTCCCCAGTTCTCGGTTTAGAGCACTGGAATTTGGACATCTTCAAGCTACAGAAAGAATACCTTAAACTCTTTAGAAAATGAATTAAAATTCTCTTGGTCATGTTCAGTCATCACAAAGTAGTATCTGCTGGGAAGACAGGCTGTGCTACTGAGTCTACTGACTTAAGCAGGGCTGGCTCTACCCAACAACCAGGAAAGGAACATCAAGACCCACTCCATTCATTTTCTTACAACCAAAAATTTAAAGTACCAACAGCCAACAACACAGGACATCTTCCTTTAACCTCCAAGCACAGTGGAGCAGGTGATAATGCCCGAGACTTTATGCTATGCGTCTCTGTGCTTTGCTCTGTAGCAGTAGGCATGAGGAGGGCAGTGTGCTGAGCGCTTCAACACATTAAGTAACTTAAGTCACATAGATAGAATTTGAAGGTGGTCTTTCTGACTCACACATTATTTGAATAATGAGCTGTTTGCTTCTAAGCCAAGCGGTTTAATGAAAACTACTCTGGACACTGAATTAACTGGAACACACAGCAATACTATTTACCCAATATCTCCCAAGGAAAAATCTGTACCAGATCCCCTTTTGCCCCATACGAACTGGACCCTGTAATTACATAACTAATTTAAAGAACATTTGGCCTTACCTGAAGTGGCTTCTGTACCCTGGACTGACTGAAATGCTGCTTACAGCTGGGCCTGTGACTCGGCACTTCACAGAGGAAGAGGGAGTCTTCCTGCATCCTGAGGATAAAGACCTTGCCAGAAAAAAAGTCAAGGAAAAGACTATCTCAAGAAGGCATATTCTAGGTTTTAATGACAAGAACTTTCAAACTGTGAGAGCCCATGTTAAAGAACCCTACTGCTGAAGCTACACATTTGGTAGAAGGCAGAATCTTCCCCATAAATGGCAGGCTAAGACTAGTAAGAAAGTTTGGGGATGTATGGATCATTGCAGCAGTCACACCAATAGATTATACACACATACATACATTTACTTGGTGTGTATGAGCATGGGTGCATATGTGTCACAGCCCCACTTGTCAGAAAACATAGGCAGTCAGTTCTCTGCTTCCACCATGTGGGTTCCAAGGACTTGAACTCATGCCATCAAGCCTAGAGGCACCTTTACCTGCTGAGCCATCTCCTTTGCCCAACGTCTTATTTTTTAAAATAAAGCTAATGTCACCCTCCCCTTTGATGACTCGTCTAGCCGTCGCCAAGCATGTTTACTAGTGGCCTTGTGCAAGAGTTCATGTTCAGTGTACTGAACTGCCCACCACAGTGTGCTTATGCTCGTGCCTCTTGCTTATGCTTGCAATTTTCTCGATCTTTGTCATTCATATTGTTTCCATGAACGCCTATCCCTCACCTGGCACAGCTCAGGCCCAACCTAAAGAGAGCAAAACAGCACAGCAGTGCACCAACCTATTGTCTCAAATGGGTTTGAACTTTGCGTTTCTGTTTATGATGAACTTGACCTCTTTTTTACAATGAAGTCCTGTGCTCCAGCTTTTGAGAAAATTGGGTTTGCCTTTCCACACATCTATTTTTCCTCTTTGAGACAGTCTTGCTATGTAGCCCAGGCTGGCTTCAAATTTATAATCTGTCCTCAGTGTTCCGAATTTTGGGATCACAGAGAATGTACCATGATACCCAGCTGTTTTCAATTTTGTATATGCAGACATTCTTAATACTACTAACCCATTGTCAAGTCACAGGTGTTAAGAAATCCTTCCAAGGCAGAATACCCCCCCCCTCCACCTGGGGCTGGAGAGATGGCTCAGAGGTTAAGAGCATTGCCTGCTCTTCCAAAGGTCATAAGTTCAATTCCCAGCAACCACATGGTGGCTCACAACCATCTGTAATGGGGTCTGGTGCCCTCTTCTGGCCTACAGGCATACACACAGACAGAATATTGTAGACATAATAAATAAATAAATATTTTTAAAAAAAGAATGCCACCCACCAATTAATGCTCTAATGCCCTTTTCCTTAGCATTCAGATCTCTAGGAGATAAGCAGGTTCCTTTGTATGTACCTAAGAGGCAGAGTTACTTTAAATGTACTTATATCACTAACTTCCATTTTAAACAAAGTTCATGATTCTTCAACTGATTTAGAAACAAAGACCCAAGGTTTAGGGAGACTGCCCAGTCAGCAAAATGCTTGCCTTACAAACATGGAGACTCAACACATTCCGAGAACTCACAGAAGCCAGGCATGGTAGTCAGAGATCCCTGGAGCATGCTGGTCAGCCATATACTGGGAAGCAGACCTTACCTCAAGACACCCATTATATATACAACACTAAACTGAGATTATAGAAGGGGGAGTGGTTAAGAAGTGCTTCCTACAGTTGGGAAAGAGGCCCCCTCGATGTATACAAGCACACAGACTGTTGTCCCCCTCCCCATCTCCCGTGGCAGAGATTGAGCCCAGGGCTTTGTATGGGCCAGGCAGGGCAAAGCCTTCTACCACTGACTGAGCTAAGTGTATTCAAGCCCCGCAATGGACTTTTAAACTGGAACAACCTAGTTCTAGTTCTGAATTACAGGGCCAAAACAATGCCTTTTAAGGTCTGATGGGTTCCTCTAGTTTTCCCCAAGAGAAGCAACTCTAGAGCCCCAAACTGCCATCCTAATTGCAATCTGCAGTCAGCCCTTCCCCAAACCAGCCTTCCTCTCTACCACCCACTCGGGTAATTAAAGTCAACACAGTTGCTTCTCTGGAATCCGGATCCTTGTTTTTCCTCAAGGGCTCCTTTGGCTGCCCAAGGCACACTACACCGACTACTGACAGATTATGTCTCTAGCATTATTTTCAGCATTTCCCTCCCATCCCCTGATGTTTACCATGCGAATCTATGTTCTGTGTAACTGCTGCAACTTCCCTAAGGCACAGGACAAAGGGTCACATGGAAACACTGTACTGTAATTCCAGATCAGGGAAAAAAAAGAAAAAAGAAAAGAAACTAAGTAATGGATCTTGAGAGAGCTGCATTTACATACTAAAAAAAAGAAAAATCAAAACAAGTATGTAAAACCCAAAAAAATTTAATTTATTAAAATTTTTATTTTGAATAGCTTCAATCAAAAAGATTTCTTAAGGTTATTTACAATGCTGAATGTACAATTGTGAATATCTACCTTTCTGACATCAGGGTACCATTCTTGAGCAGCAATACAATTTTAAAAATATAAAGATGTGGTATCATTCTGATATATAAAGTTACTTAAAAAATTCACGGTCTTAGGGAGTTCACAAATCATAACAGGAAGTAACTTTTATTAATTTCATGTGCACATAATTACCAAATTGTAATACATTAAAAATACATGTAAATGTCCAGACTGTACAAAAGTTAATACCCTATCTCGTTAAAAGTTCCCAGTAACCTCCCACCATAAATATACAAAACCCTTTTCTTAGACACATCAAATCTGCATGCATAAAATTAGATGTTGCTCCTCATTGCATGAGCTTTTGCTGCTTTTGGAACAGGTTTTACATATGTGTATTATATATTATATATCATATGCCATATATAATATATATAATACACATCTATATATATGACACATTATTTACCATGCCTTTGAAACTGTGCAGAACTTTCATCAACATGGGAAACAAAATAAATAGTGTAAAAACAGTAACAGGTTTACTTAAATGCAAGTGCAATTTGGAAATCTTCCAGAGCTCGGGCTTATAAAACTTATAAAAGCACTGGTTCATTGTTGGTTTCCACTCTCACTCACGCACTATTTGCAGCACTGCTATACAGCAGTTGGTGCTAGAAGATAGAAAACAGTTACCACTATTTGTTTATATTTGATGGAGGAAAACAACTTTAAACAACCCTGAGGGAGACCCACATTAAAAAATCTTATTTATTTAAAAAGTTAAAAAGTTACATATCATTATTTAACAATTACTTTCCTGGACATTTCTGTCCTTTAAGTATGTGCATAAATAAAATTTAAATCAGCAATATTATCAATCTTAATACATCAAAATAATATATGTACAGATTTTAAAATTTAGGTCTGTATGTACTCAAATAATTTAATGTAAAATCCAGGACCCAAATCTCTATGTGACGGTGACCTACAGAAGACTCCGTCTACCTACGGTACTAAGCAGGACCCACGTCTGAACTCACAGACATTCCGCAAACAATATTCTCACTGGAACAACCTACCCTGTCTATGTTCAAATCTAACTTCCTACGAATGCTTTCTCTCACCTACATAAAACCTTGTTTCCTTTGTGAACAACATGGACAGATGAAATATAAACCCTTATCAACTCTAAATATTAAAAAGGGTATGTGTCAAAAATAGCCTTTTATGACCATTCTCTTGAGGGTGTTAAATACAATTGATATTGGGTTTCTAAGCTGCAGCTAGAAATTAATTATATGCTTCTGCATTTAAACCAAAAAAAAAAAAAATAAGACTTAACAATTCAGAAAAATCACTAAGAATAATATGAACATTATTTGAAATGAATATGGACAATATAAAACAACAGAGAATAAGTAATTATAGAAAATAGTGCTAATTCACAGCTCAAGAGGTCTAAGATGCATAGCTTCATAGAATCATTCATGGGACAATTGTTCTTATCATCTAACATATAGTAGTATCATACATTTTGTTGGAAAAATTCGATTATGTGTTTTTTAAGAATCACTAGTGGCAATAGCAGTAACAGTGATCCTGAGAATAATTTACATTTTTTTTCTGCAATTATCAAACATCATTCAGGTCTCTGCAAACATAAAAAAAAAAAAGAAAGAAAGAAAGAAAGAAAAATGGTTCCAGAAATCTGGGTAACATCTGGTAAACTGGTAAGTATGTACTGGGACAGTATGAGCACTACTACTGGAAAACGTAATAGCTAAGAAAGAACATAGAATAACCTCACACTGCTTCACTAATTCGGGGTCCATTTTTATAGCAATGCCAGCTCCCCAAGTTCATAACTGTGGGCACTGCCAAACTCCCAAGTCCTACCTAGGAAGGCATTGTGGAAGTTCCTTGAGAACTGAACATTAATCAGATAAAACACAAGCGTGAAAAATGCTTTCTACATTTCTTTTGGCTCAATAAATGTGTATACTTTATTTTCTCAAGCTCACTTGTAACAAAACAGGTATGTGCTGACCTCTGGTGCCACCTAATGGCATAAAACAAGCTCTACTCAAGTTCACATTGCTTTGTAAAAGCCAAACTCAGTATTGACTATTCCTTTAAGCCTCATTATCCAAAGGAGAGCCATACCACATACCAAGGTTAAGCTCTAACTCAAAAACCAAACCAACAACAACAACAACCAAACCAAACAACAAATTTATCCTATTCCTTTAGGTTAAAAAAAGAGAGAGCGAGCATTTAAAATGATATAAATCATGAAAGAAAAACAAACAGCGGGTATGAAGAGATGCGAGGTCTACCACCAAGGGAAAGGATCATCTCTCTCTGCATGCATGTATTTTGAGACAGGGCTTTACTAGCTACTCTAGGCTATCCCTGGACTAAGGACACTCCTCCTGCCTCAGCCTCCTGTGCAGGAGTACAGGCCTGTACCACCATGCCTGACTCAGAAATAAATCTTTTCTAGTGAAAAAGAACGTTTTTAATGAGGCCAACTGGGCTGTTGATGTCAGACACGGCATGAGACCCACAAATGTTACAAAAGCTATCAAGACAGCAGTGAAGCACCTTGCTGGCTAGAAAGTGACACCAGGCAGTCTACACACAGAATATAAAACCAGAAATGGAAGTTACCTGAGATGCTCTACCAACAATAACACACAGACTCACTCCTTCAGAAACTGGTATATGTTTAACATAGAATTCTTTGGGAGAAACACTGGAATCAAAACAGACTTCCAACCTATTTTCACTGAAGGCTAATCACAATTAACAACCATAAATTTTTAACAGTCCCAATTTAGGGTCTATATATAAAAGGAACTAGCTAATAAAGGGTTTGTGAAAATTAAATTTAAAGAGGCAGACTAGTGTCAAAAGCTAAAAATTTAAAAAACCTAACAGCTCTCTCATACCCAATATAAAGTGTATATCATATTTAGGTTACTGCATGAAGATCTAGCCAGACTGATAGTTAATAACTGTGAGGCAAATGCCGTTTTACTGGTTTTGTTTTTTTAATCAACTACTGTCTTATGAGAGGGATATAAACTGAAACAGAGCCATTCTGACACCTAGCATCACATCCTCCTGAATACTGTAACTCGAACAGCAGAGACAGTCTCTGCTATGCTATGGTGCTGATCTGACATGATCCATTCTCCTTTACTACAGCTTTGGCTTCCGTCGTGGTCTGAGGCTTAGGTGGCCATTCAGGGTCATCTCGGAGCTCCTGCGCCAGGTACATGTATTTTGCTTTTGGTGTCTTCTTTCTGCAGCTCAAGGCCCAGGACAAGCAACATTTTCCCCACCGATCCACTGACTCCTGGGAAAGGAAAAACATCCTGAGTAAGGGCTTATTTGTTAACATATGCACTATGCATAGAACAATATGAAATAACTTCTGAATACAACAAATAACTAGGAAAAACTTTATGCAAAAAGGTCAGCTTTCAATTTAGGAACAGATTGTTTTTAAACAGGACTTTCCCCAGCTCCTTTAGTTTTGTGCACATATGTCCTTATGCTATTTAAGTAGCTTTCCCTAGCAGAAAACACCTCGTATATTATGAGTAACTTTAAACTACTCAGGAAATATTTTTAATATTTAATTTGGAAATCCTCAAATTCTATCCCAAATTATTTTTTATATTGATACCTAGCAATCACTTTTAGAAGAAAGTGACCATTGAAAGACATCATTGTTACTGCTAATACCCTCTTCAAAAGACAAAGCCAGAGGTAAACACCAGAATCTCACTGTCACATTAAAAAAACTATTATTTAAAACCCATCTCCAGCCAGGCATGGTGGCACAAACCTGCAATCCCAGCTTGGGTGCTGTGGTGGTTTGTTTTGGTCACGTTAACACAGACAGGTCAGAATCATCGGCAAGAAGAAGCCTCAACAGAGAAAATGCCTGTAGGCAAGTCTGTGGGCATTTTCTTGATTAAGGATTAATGTGGGAGGGACCAGATGACTGGGGGTGCTGCCAACAGAAAGCAAACTGAGCAAGCTATGGGGAACAAGGCAGTAAGCAATGTTTCCCCACAGTCTCTGCTTCAGTTCCTGCCTTGGCTTCCCCTGATGATAGACTGTAACCTCTAGGTCAAATAAGCCCTTTCCTCCCCAAGTTACTTTTGGTCATGGTATTTATCACAGCAATAAAAACCCAACTCAACACAACTACATAGTAATTCTGTTTAAAAAAAAAAAAAACAAGTAACGCCATACACTCAATGATATAAAACTGCTTTCTCCCAGTAAGTTTCCCTTGGTGCTCCACAATGGGAAGAAGATGCACAGTGAGAGCCGGGCTGCAGAGATGGCTCAGTGATAAAGAGAACCAACTGCTCTTTCAGAGGACTTGAGTTCAATTCCCAGCACACACACGGCAGCTCACAACCACCTTTAACTTCAGCTCCAGGAGCTCTAATGCCCTCTTCTGTCCTCCATAGGCACTGTACATAGATGCACATATACTACACATGTAGGCAAAATACAAATTCATAAAATAAAACTAAATTGAAACCACTGTGATCAATCATGACATTACTGATGAATATGACCTTAGATAAATAATCCTTCGAGAACAGGAAGACAAAGTTCTTGCAGGAAAATAAACTCAACAGAATAGTTCCAAGCGAAGTTTGAAATAAATCTAAATGACTATTTCACCTCTGAAAACAGCCAGTAAATTACTTGGTTATTGCTTCTTTCAAATAAAATTTATGTCCCAGTTATCCTTTTGCCAACCAATAAATAACCCAGCCCACACTAGGCTCTAACCTCAATGGAAGCAATCCTACAAAATGGAAATACAACAGATGAACATTCTAATGTGAACATCCACCGTACCTACAGTCAAGAAAGGCAAATGTGTTATAATACATAGTTGAAACACACTTCTTAATTGGCCAACAGGACCCAAGCATGTGTAGTACCTATAATCCTAGTACTAGGGAGGCCAAGGCAGGAAATTTTGGGGCTCATTCCAGCCTGAGCTAAACAGTAGGTAGGTCTGGGGCCAGTTTAAGCTACAAAGTGAAACCTCTATCTCAACAGATTGATCCATCAAATAATAAGGCAAGTAGTAGCCAATGGGAAGAACCAAAAGTACTTCAAAATAAAAGCACTGAAAACTGTTATTCCCGGTACTTTTCTCACTTTAGTAAGACAACCATCAGGAACCCTGCCTCTCTTTTTCAGTATGTAAATAAAACTGGGCTGCATCACTCCCAAGGACTTAAAGGCAAAACTGTAGTTTTATTATTACATTCTAGGGAAAACTAAAAGATTTAAAGATGATTCATCCAGTAATCTCTATTACCACCACAATCAAAGTTATTAGCTGTGCATGGTGGCACTTGCCTATAACACCAGTATGCAGGAGGATCTTCACAAGTTTGAGGCTGGCCTGATCTATACCATGAGTTCAAGGCCAGCCAGTGTTTTACAGTAAGAAAGACCCCCCACACACATCAAAAATAAAAATAAAAAAAGGAAAGCCCAAGGTGGGGTGTGATATTACATTATTCTTTAAAAAAAGAATCCACTACAAATCCACCCAGTAATCACCATGCCCAGGCTCTCTCAGGAGATCAAGCACCAGTTAGCAGTTTCCTCCCCAGTGTAGCTGCACCACACAACAGTCAGTCATCTGAGATAACGCTATACTACTGCATTTTACTGCTTCCCCAGTGCTTCCAGTCTTCAGCCCAATTGTGGAAAAGAGCACTGTTCCTAAATATGAAAGCTGTCACTTTCACTGACAGTAGCACTGCTAAAGCATCAGAGAAACACATCATGCTTGTCTGTGCAGACAGGAGACCTCTGAGTGGAAAGGTGATGCACAACAGGCAAAGAGCCGAGAGTAATGGAATCTAAGACACACAGACACACACATTCCCCTCTAAATTCACTGCTCTACACCTGTGGAAACAAAAGCAAGCAATATAATTAAAGCCAATCACAAGTGACATCATAAGTGCAGTTTGCTTTTAATATTTAATATATATGCATGTGTATGTATATAGCCACACACATATATATTCACATCTGTTGAAAACTATGTATATTCATTGTACATCAAGTCACAAAGAATACCTGAGATTCCTCCTAGTCTACCATAATTAGAAAACATGTTTGTTCCTGTAACCTTAGCTCCCCCAAATGTCACAAAAAATAAATACACCACACACAAGGTTCATGAGACTGCACATAAATGTACCACACACATCTTCAAACATAATTCACTGGAAGAAAATATTAAAGGCTACAGTCATGACAGAACTCAGGAAAGGAAAGATGACAGCAAAGGAAGACAGCAGGTCAATGTGTGACAAAAAGGGTATTTTAGTCATGGGACTTAGAATGAGCACTTGGGTCTCCTCAGCGCAGTTTCAGTTCCTCAAGAAGGACAACACTGAATCCTTAGATTTAATTAATTTGGAATGGTTAACATGGTCAAAAACAGACTCTCTAAGACAAGAGCAAGAATATCACTGGTCAACAAAGAAACCAGACAAATGTTTATAAACACCTGCAGTCACAATCTGGCTTCTCAGATATTCCAAGTTGCTCATTCTAATGCCCAGATCTTTAAGGCCAGCAGTCATTTAGGAAGCATTTTTTTCCATGTATGGCATATACTGTTACTTTCATAAATCTTCCACATCAATCCTCATTATAAAACAAATATAATCCAAGCATCCTACCAATCTATCTAAGTAAATTCAAATGGTATTTTTAAATAGTTTTTTCAAGTTGCATAATGGCTACTGCTCAGTTAGATTTTCACGAAAGAGAAAACGTAACTCAGGCATAAAACCTCAAGAGGTTCACAGTGCACAACAGCTCTAGTTCTCTCATGACTTCCAAATTCAACTACCTCAGTTTAGTGTGGGGCCTAGACTACAACCTACAGCCCTGAACTAACTCAGCAGTGCCCCTGAATATGAAAGAAAAGGAGTGTTCTTTCTCTAACACTGAGAGCTGCAATCTGGGATCTCATGGGCTTCTCTGTAAAACTGAGCACCTCCAGTTAGGCAGTGCAGAGTAAGGACTGTGGCAGAACAACAACAGCACACACGGCCTGCAGTAAAGCTAGTGTCACCAGCCATCTCTGCTTCCTTCTCACCTACAGTAGAGCTCTCTGTATCAGCATGGGCACAGCTCTGAGATACATAATTCTTTTTTGGCAGGAGCTGTTGTCTATGTACCAAAGGACATTTATTTAGCAGCACCAATGGCCTCTACCCATTCTCTATGTCAATAACAACCTCTCTCCCTTATGTGTGATAACCAAAATTGTCTACAGACACTGCCACTCCCTGACGGGGGAGGAGAGAGGGTGTTGGACAGAGTTGGACACTGAACAAGAAGCAAAGCACTTCACACAGAAGCATCACTAAGGAAACTTAATCTTTATGCACCAAGATAAGGACTCTCCTTGTCTAAAAATAAAGCTCCAAAAAGTGCTTTCTAAAACCACAGAACTGATCCAGAATGGGTCTACTTGCAGGACTTGCGGAGCTTACATGCTAATAAGCTGTCCTGTTATCTTTATTACCTCCCAAGAACATTTTTAGAGGTAGAACTTCACATGAATAAAAACTTAAGAATTAAGAACCATATTTACAAATTTTGAAGAGACAGTAGTAAAGAATATATATATTTGCCATTCAAATTGTGCTTGAATAACTGGGTAGGGTGGCACTTAATCCCAGCACTCAGAAGGCAGAGGTTGGCAGATCCCTGAGTTCCAAGATAACCTTGGCTACATAGATAAACTGTCTCTAAAAACCAAAAGGAAAAATAAGCATTTCTAATGCAAATATTTTGTTCCTTAAATGACCCATCTTTTAAGCAAGTAAACCCCTCTTTAGAATATGCCTGTACTTCCTTATTTAGAGAAGGTTAGAGATCTCTTCAGAGAAGGTTAAAAATTTGTGTGTTTCCCTAAGCCTGTGCCTTTCCAACACTAATATCTCACACGAGAAGGGTGACCTGAGCCAGTCTGATCTGAAATAATGTAGCAATAGTGAAGTCACCAAAAGAAAATACAGCTAGGTCATTATCACAGAGGAGGTTCAGCTAAAGGACCTGAGCCCCACAGGTCTTTCCGGTCCTGCCCTCTACTAGTGACAAACAAGCATTGCACTGCTTTGAGAAAGAAGAAACTGCAGTTGACTTCAGACTCATGCTGCCACTGCACACCACTGCTATTCCACCGTGCAGCACAGAGCACAAGTAGCACTCTACATCGTACACAGCAAGCCTGGAATCTAACCTGGATCTCAGGCCTGCTTAATTACAACATAAAACTCAGGAAGTCACCATTTAGGTAAAAGGTGATGAAAATGAGTTGATGCTCTAAGTCAGAAATGCCAATCCTTGAACACATATTAGCAAGGCACATCACCCATGTCATAAAGAACAATGGGTAACATTTGGAAACAGGTTCTAATGCAATACAATCTGTCCTTGAACTCTCTATGATCTTTCCTTCTACCCCCACCTCTCCTGTGCTGGGACTGTGTGCTACAACTTTTGGCAAGGTGCGATGTTAAATGTTAAAGTTCTCGTAGACTATGATTAAATAACAGCAATCTACAGACTAACCTGTACATTCTATCAAGAGCTCTCGGGAAGCAGGCGGATCTCTGAGTTTGAGCTTGTTCTACAAGAGCTAGTTCCAGGACAGACTCCCAAGCTACAGAGAAACCCTGTCTCTAGGGGGAAGGGGGGTGGCTCTACTGTAACATCCTCACACTAGGTAACAAACTTTTCTTTCCTTTTGCCAGAAATGAGCAAATAATTTTTGAATGACTGGTACTGGTCAGAGAAAGCTAAAGGCCACATTAAATTAATGCATAGCAACTGTCAGAACAAAAACACAGAAATAAAATCGCAGAAAGTGTCATCATTATCTAAGAAAAAAACAAAAATTTTGTTTACATGACTGTCATTTACCTTCTAATCAGACTAGTGAAAATACAATAGCATGCATATAAAGCATATAAAACATAAACTATAATTCAGGCAAAAATTACAGAATTAACTCTCAGCTGGGTGGTAGTGGTGTACGCTTTTATTCCCAGCACTCATGAGGCAGTGGTAGGCAGATCTCTGGGAGTTCAAGGCCAACCTGGTCTACAAAGTGATTCCAAAACAGCCAGGGCTACACAGAGAAACCCTTCTGGGGAAAGAAAAAAATTAAATTAACTCCCATCTTTTAGGATAAGACAGACTGAGACATTCGAGTGAGCACACACACACATACAAAGATTGGAATGGAAGAGACTTACGAAATTCTCAAAGTCCTAAAAAACCTATATTAAGTATTGAGTTTTCTAGGACTCCTTACCAAAAAAGAAAAAGAAATGCCAGGCACAACAGAGGCGGCTGAAGCTGAACACACAGAATAACAGAACAAAGTACACAAGTGGGAAAGCCAGTATGTACGTGAAGAATCAACAGTAATCAACAGCTCGTTTCCAACCTGCGGTGGCTGTGTGGTGGTGAAACGATACTCTCCTTGTTTGTCTCGACTGAACACAACCTTCCAAAGGACCGTGTCAAGGAAGAAGCTCTGAGAGATATTCCAGTGAGTTAAGAATTAAAAACGCCAGGTCATTCCTTTTCAACATGCACATTTGCTAACATTCACACAATGTTGCATCATTAATATAAAAAATGCGATTTGCTTTTCATATGGCAAACTTCAGTAAATACTACAAAAGGTTAAGTAACTTTTGTAACAAATACAAGTCATAAAATTCTTGATAAAAACAAGACTAAATTTTCTACAAATTAGGTTCTGGTCCCCAGTGCTTCCCTAAATTAACAATGTTGATGATTCATGGCCATTTTCTTAAAGAGTTACTTTTACTTAATATCTAGTATTAATTCTGTCTTCATATTAATTCTGTCTACATAACGATACAAACATTTCATCAGCAACCAATACAAATAATTCTCTACATAACAAGAATAAAAGATGAACTTACACAGTAGGAAAAGAATCCTAACACAATCTTAAATGTGCTTTCTAGAATTTTTGAGTAGAAAATACATTCTATAGAATGTAAAATGATCAGCTACAAATATCCATGCTCCCATCTCACCTCAATTTAAAAACCCAAGCCATTTTTCCAAGTGGCACACTTTACTTTCTGTTGGGAACACAGCTCTGTGAGCGCACAGAAACCTACTCTTCTCTCTGCTCACTGCTCATTTTTGCTATCTCACTATCTAATGCCTCCTATATTCATGAATGCAACTTCATCAAATCTAGATAGAACTGCAGAAAGGTCTGATCAGGAAGTTGAAACAATCTGCCTAAAATGAGAGTGTGGGCTTCTGTATAATATTAGCTGTTCTCCCACCACTACCACCTTTAGATCACCCAAGAATCCCAAAACTGGGTGCTTACCTCAACCGTGATAGACACGAAGGCATTGATAAGAACAATGATAAGCATATGTATACGCCACTGGTATGGTACACATACAATCTAAAAGAAAAAAAAATTAAGTTAGTCTTAATTGATATTATAGCATTATATCATGGTGTCTGAAATCATGCCTGTAATCCCAGTCAGTACTTAGGAGGCAGAAAAAGGAAGATCATGAGTTCAGTTAATCCTAGATATCTTACAGGTACAAATCAGAGTGAAATACCTAAGACCCTATCTCAAAAAAAAAAAAAAAAAGAGAGAGAGAGAGAGAGAGATCTGAGTTTACCAAAACCAATGCTATGTACATATATATATATATATATATTTACATAGGTACATGTATATATACATATATAAAATGCAAATACACACTTTATCCATTTAACTTTTGGTAATACCACAAAATATGCATCTTTTCACACAATAAAACTATCTCACAATTTAAAAAGTGATTGCTCTCACCATTGAATCTTTTTTGTTTGTTTTTCAAGACAGGGTTTCTCTGTGTAGCCTTGGTTGTCCTGGAACTCACTCTGTAGACCAGGCTGACCTCAAACTCACAGAGATCTGCCTGCCTCTGCCTCCCGAGTGCTGGGATTAAAGGTGTGCATTACCATTGCCTAGCTAGCATTAAATCTTAAGATACTCAAAAGTCTAAGCTACTCTAATCTACAGTATTACAAATGTCTAACAAGTTTTTTTTTTTTTAAATAAAAATCTTTCAAAAACAAGGCAGAGACACTAGAGCAATGGCTCTGTGGTTAGGAAGCATGTGCTTCTCAGCATCCAGATCTGGTAGCTACATCTGTTGGCTACCTGTTAACTCCAACATCAAGGAATTAAGTGCTGTCGTCGTCTGGCCTGTTAGGCCCTGTAGTCAGCATGTACATTCCTCCAGATATACATATACTTAAGAATAAATGTTTTTAAAAATGAGGTACATACTAATTTAATGCTGGTCAAATTAAGTTGACTTTCCCCTGTTCAAGCTTCTAAACAGCTAGAACTACGCCCACACACCGTAGTATCTAACACTAAAATCTGATTGCTCTCTTTGACCTAAAATATCCTTTAAGTCAGCAAATATTTATCAATGAGTAGCTAAAACACTATGTAAGATGTGAAGGAGTAAGTTGACCTAATGTACTTCCTATTAACATACTACTGCTCTAGAAAGTTTGAGATGAGAAGACTGCAAGGGATGATGCTAGAGTGCCAACCAGACCAGGGATAATGAACCAATGAAGCTCAAGAAAAAATAGAAAAATTTTCAGAACAGGGAACAGCAAAAACAAAAACACTAAGAAAGAATGAGGGAGAGAGGCATCAAGAAGAGAAGCAGCAAGATGGAAAGAGAACACGATACATTTAGCTTTAAGCTTTAGCTTCTAGATATCGTATGTGTGTATGATGTATACACATACTTATGCACACACAACACAGGAGGTCAAAAGAGGATGTCAAGTTTCCTGTTCTATCACTCTCAAATATATGTCCTTGGTGCGGGGATTAGAAGCATACACAACCATATCCAGCATTTTATGTGGGTTCTGGGATTTGAACTTAGGTCCAGCAAATATTCTTGGCCCTGAGCTAGTTCAACTCCAAAGTTAAGCTTTTTACAATGCTCATTTTGGACAACTGCTATCACTTAGTATTCAGGTCTACCACTCAATAGTCACAGCTAAACTCAGGGTATAGACTGAACAGTCTTTAACTTACTGATGCCAACTGCAGGCAAACTATTGATTGAGTACAAGGGAGATCAGCTGAGTACTGAGCGAAAAGAGGACATGTTCAGAAAGATGGGGAATTAATGTTTAAAGATGGGTCAGAAAGAAAAGAGCCACAATGGAGGATCACGGAGGGCAGGAAAAAGCTAAAGGGAAGAAAGCACACAACTTAAGGGGAAGATGTCTCAAAACACTAGCCTGGTTACATGGTTCAGTATTTTGGGAACTAAAGGCCGGGGGTGGGGGGAGAGGAGGGGTTAGAACAAAAAACTTCAAAGAACACACACCCATTGCACGTAACTAAGAAGGTGGTCTTGGTCAGGGTAGTTTCAGTAGCTCAGCCATGCTAGGTGGCAGAGTATATTGAGGTGAGCAGAATATGTGTAATAACAATTAACTAAATGTCTCAATCAAACACGAACATGCACTGCTCTTCAAAGTTCAATAATGCAGTTTTTATGAAAAGACTCAAGATAAAATTTCCTGCAGCTAGGGTAAGGTTTGTCATTTTTCCAAATTCATGTTGAGATGTGATTCCCACCTTAAGTGTTAAGAGGCAACAGGGTCTTTATAAGCAATTAGTTTAAAGGGATTCCATTTTCAAGAAAGAATCAATGTACTTTCTGCTAAGACAATTTAAACCAAGAGCAGGTTGTCCAAAATGAACTGGGCTTCCCTGGCTCTTTGCACGCCAATTTCAAAGTCCACCTTTTGGCTCTGAGGAAAAATGGAAATCCTCACTGAAAGCTGATCAGATGCTGCTGCAGGGCTCTCAGACCTCCAGAACTTTAAGCTAAAAGGATTAAAACAAAACCTCCTCTTCTCTTTATAAACTATCTTTCTTCAAGTATTTTGTTATGGCAACAGAAAACACTGAAAGGGCTAGAGTGATAGCTCAGTGGTTAAGAGTATTCAAGTTCCAAGCACTAAAATGGTGGCCTACAACACCAGTTCCAAAGGGTCAGTGGTATCCTTTCCTGGCTTATTTGGGTACCAGACAAGCTGTGGTACATATACATACAAGCAGCAGTACACATAGATATGTGTAGACACACACACACATACACAAAAAAAATCTTTTTAAAAATGAAAGCATGGGACTAAACCAGGTAATGGTGGTGCAGCTCACACCTTAGTCCCAACACTTGGGAGGCAGAGGCAGGAGGATCTCTGAGTTCAAAGCCAGCCTGGCCTATAGAGAGAGTTCCAGAATAATCAGAACTGTTACACAAAGAAACCCTGTCTCAAAACAAGCAAACAAACAAAATAACAACAACAACAACAAAAATCACACACAGAGCAGGAGATGGCTAAGAGGCAAAGAGAATGTGCTGTTCCTCCACAGTCCCAAAGTTAGTTCCCAGAACCGACTATCTGGAGACTCACAAACTCAACTCTAACTCTGGTTTCCGAGGATCTAATGCCTCTGGTCCCTGAGAAAAACCTGCACTTAAATACACATATCTACATGTATGTATGTGTATGTGTGTATGTATGTACATATAATAAAAATCTGAAAAAACGAAATAGTAAGAACTAAAACACACTCCTAGAAACTCAATTTTTGTACTGGCCTATAAATACATACCTATTTGTGTTATAAAACTTAGAACATCAAGATATTGTTAATAACCTAAATGAAACTAGTTTAAAGAGGGGGTGGGGTCTGCACTACAGATCTCTTGAATCTTCTTTTTAAAAAACAAGGTCTTGGGGCTGGAGAGATGGCTCAAAGGTTAAGAGCATTGCCTGTTCTTCCAAAGGTCCTGAGTTCAATTCCCAGCAACTACATGGTGGCTCACAACCATCTGTAATGGGGTCTGGTGCCCTCTTCTGGCCTGTAGGCATACACACTGACAGAATATTGTATACATAATAAATAAATATATATATTTTTTAAAAAGGGTCTCACTTTGTTTCCCATGGTAGCCTCAAACTCCTGAGCTCAAACAATCCTTGGTATCTCATGTTAGTGTAAATAGATATGGCTTTTGTTCCCTTGACATACCAATCCTGCAATACATTGAACAAAAATGTACAAAACATCTCATGGAGAAAATTACATTACTGAATGGAATCTTCACTGTTAACTCTGTGAGACAGAGTTTCCTTTCCAAAAAGAATCTGACTAGAGATGCAGGAATTTAATCATGGGTGCCATCATCCCATGGGCTTGGGAGTCCAGACTGATAAAGACAGGAAAAAAGGATCACCTTCCTATTCAAGAGCTACGAAAAGGACACAACTCACACTGCAGAGAGCAACACCTTTATTTATGCCACGGCCCCCAATGTGGAGCCTCTGAGAGCTGAACCTTTCAATTCAATGCAACTGTGCTTTTTATTTTCTATTATTTAATCTCCACCCTTGTGCATGTGTTTCTTGGTGGTTTTGTCTATGTACTGCTGTTAGGTTTGGAGACTGTCACGTTTCTTCACCCATTAGACTTTCTTTTAACTATATCTTCCATCTATGCTTCATCTCTTCAATGTCTTTTCCTTTTCCACCTTTAATCCCTCCTCTTTTGGCCTCTCAATTATAACCTTACACAGCCTTACCAATTCCTATTATCTGTGAACCCTAACAGTATCTCACCTTCCCTCTCCTTGATTCTTTCCTCAAAGCTGAATTCATACTTATTTTTACCCTCACCCACCCTACTTTGATCCCAATCCTAACCTCATTAACTAAAATACTCCACTATTATCAGTGGTAGTTCATTTTCCAACAGACTCAATTTGAAGGAGTGCTGTGGTTACTATATTCACCTCAGGAAATAAACTGAGCCTATTACCAGAACTCCTTTCTAAACTAATCCTCAACTCTACCATAGCTAAGTCTCACTTGAACATGATAAGATGTACTTATTAAAAAATAACAAAAACAACCTTTCAAAAATTGCTAATCCTACAGTAATGGCATCTAGTATGAATGAATTATATGAAACCCCTGGCAGAGAACATAAAAGATAAGTATACTTGAAGATATCAAACAAAATAAGCTGCTGAATAAAAACAATTGAACAAAACAGAGAAGGCAATGTAAGGCTCTAAAGAGGAACTCCAGAGATGGAAATACTAAAAAAAAAAAAAAAAAAAAAATCAATCATCTGCAATGCTGGGGTGGAGACAGGTCAAATAAAAAGCTCCCTGCAAAGTTCCACCAACTGAGGATCGAGGAGAGGAGAGAAAATGGAGGAACGAGAACAACCCAACATAGACAAAGAAAGTATAAAGTTACTAGTGAGAATTTATAAAATGTGTGACATTTTGTAAAGACCAAATACAGGCATAGGAGAAAAATCTTATTTTAAAGGGAAAGAGAACATTAACAATATTTCTTCACATTAGGAAAGATGCCAGCCTAGTTACAGGATGCATTTAGGGCCAAACAAGAACAGAAAAGGAGCTCCTCAGTCACGGCAAAATTAAACAGCAAACTGAAAGCAGCAGGATAAAGATGAAGTCACACATCAAGGCAGCTTATCAGAAGAGCAGAGGGGCAACTGAATTTTAAGAGCCAAAAGGCTTGTAATGGTATCTTTCAAGTTCTGAAAGACAACTGCCAACCCAGAATACAAGGATACTTTACCCCAAACTGTGATGTGCTTAAATATGCCTGAAACAAACTACCTGGTGTCAATTTCTCGAAGTTTAAAACAACAGGCTACTGAGTTGTGTTGAACTGGGCTCGCTTTTTCTTAACACTGTGCTGCTTGCAGAGCGCCCACAAGAAAGAACAAGACTCCACTTGGTCAAAGCAATCTTGAGAAAAATAATACTGCTTAAGGTATAAGCATAATTGATTTCTAGTTACGCTAAAGAGCCACTGTAACAGAAGCAGCATGGTAATAACAAACAACAATAACAACAAAACCTCAGAGATATAAAGATCAACAGAATATAACAGAGGATCAACGTAAAGAGCGTACACAACTATAAGATGCCAAAAGCACAGATAGTAAAAAAGGTAGCATTTTCAACAAAGTATGACGGGGAAATTGAAGACCAAAATGTAGAACAAAACTAGTGCCTCATCTCAACTCTAGATGGATAAAGAACCTCAGCATAAGACCTGAAACTTTCTCAAGAAAAAATAGAAAGCAGATATTAAGATAAGGGAACAACTTTGTGAAAAAAACAAAACAAAACAAACAAACAAAAAAAAACAACTCTGACTGCTCAGGCAGGAAATAAGACCAATAACAAATAGGGTTTCATAAACAAAAAGCTTCTATACAGCAAAACCACCACCACCAAAATCCCTGTCAATCAAGTGAAAAGGCAGCCTATAGAATGGGTTAAAAAAAATTGCCAGGGGGGCTGGAGAGATGGCTCAGTGGTTAAGAGCATTGCCTGCTCTTCCTAAGGTCTTGAGTTCAATTCCCAGCAACCACATGGTGGCTCACAACCATCTGTAATGGAGTCTGGTGCCCTCTTCTGGCCTGCAGGCATACACAGAGACAGAATATTGTATACATAATAAATAAATATAAAAAAAAATTGCCAGATACACACCCGACGGGATTAGTATATAGAATATTAAAAAAAAAATCAAGAAACTAAAAACGAAGAAAACAGTGCCCCTCTCACCCAGAAAAAAACAAAAAGCAAACAAAAAGGGATACTGAGCAGAGAATTCTCAAAAGAAAAAAAAAGCTGGAAAATAAACATTAAAGTATTCAATACCAGTAGCCACTGAGAAAACTGAAACTGCTTTGAGACTGCATCTTACCTAGTCAGAATGGCTACCTTCAAGAAACAAACAATACGAAATGCTGGTGAAAATGTGGGGAAAGAACCCTTAATCCACTGTTGGTGGGAGTATGAACTGGCATAGCCACCATGGAAACCGGAGGTTTCTAATTGAAAAACAGAATTACCATGATCCCAGCAATACCTCTCCTGGAAACATTCAACGATTTTATATCCTACTACAGGGATATTTACACATCATGTTCATGGCTGCTCTAGTCACAATAGATAGGAGATGAATGGATAATGAAAATGTGCTGCACACATAATTTATTCAGCTGCAAAAATTAAATTATGTAAATAAAAATGAAATTATGTAAAGGCTATAAAGAAAAGTGAAATCACCTGCAAAAAGATGGATGGAATTGGAAAATGTACTAAGTGTTAACAACTTAGGTCAAGAAAGACAAATACTTCACACTCTCTCCCATATGGAGAGGAGCTAGAAAAGGCTTATTAAGAGGGAAAGGAGACCTTAAAGGGGATGGAGAGAGTGGCACGCATGTAATATAAAAGTAGAGGGAAAAAGTGGTAGTGGTCAGGCAGGGTTTCAGGTGATGGGGAGGAAAACAGAGGAGGGGGTGAGCTAGTTTAAAATGTGCATCCAGGGACTGGAGAGATGACTCAGTGGTTAAGGGTACTGCGGAGGACCCAGCTTCAGTCTCAGCACCCACAAGACAGCTCACAACTGTGACTGTCAACAGCTGATCTGACTCCCTCCTTCTGGTCTCTGGGCACTGCATGCATGTAGTGTACCTACACACATGTAAGCAAACCACTCACACAAACAAATAAAAGTGTTAAAAAAGTATATATATAAGAAAGAGGAAAACTGAGTTTGAAAGAAGTATCATGTAAGGGTGAACAACACTTTCCCCAGAAGGCATAAATTATTACATGAAAATTATCAATGTCAGGTGTGGGTCAGGGAGGCCATTGCTCTTGGTTGTTCATCACAGCTAGAAGGTAAGACTATCTAGTGCCAAAGATAACAATACACTCTGTTTACAAGATACAGAGAACTCAAGCTGGAACTGACCTGGAAAATCAGCACTGCACCTGGCATGCTACGATAGAGATCTGCGCCAAGCAAAGATGGACATACTAGTTCAATAGTGACACAAAGGTTCAGGGGAACTGCTCTCTGACTAGATTTAAGGCCTGCTCTACAGAACAGACTTCACTATAGATTTGGTAGCTGCAAATGTGGTCAAGAGTCCACATCTTGGGAGGTCAGGATCCCAAGAGGCAACTACTATTGTTTTTGCTCAATGGATATGAGTATCTTCTAAATATCTTCCCACTGATTAATGCTGCTTTCAACCTTGGCCAGAGAAGCTTATTTTGGCAATGGCAAACCAGTCAATATAGAGATTCTCTCTGCTTTCTGACTATAGATACAATGTGACCAGCTGTCTCAAACTCCTGACAGCATGCATTATCCATCTTGACAAAAGATATCCCCTCAAACTATGGACCACAATAAATCCCCCCTTTCTTAAGTGGTTCATCAGTTATTGTCACAGCAATGAGAGAACTAATAACAATATATGAGAAATGAACAGTGCTCACAGAAAAGGAACTAATTGTTTCCTGAATTTATTAAACAACTCAGTATAACTCTAATTCCAAGGGTGCTTTTCTTGGTACCCGACAAGCCAAACCTAAAATTTAGAAAGAAATACTCCCAGACAAAAACATCTTGATGATTCTATCACATTGAGGTAGAAGTATTGTTCTGAACTATATAAAGATCCCTTACAAAGTCATAATAATTTGGAGAGTCTGGTACTACCAGAAAAAGATAAGGAGAACTCAAGTATAAAATAAAGCCCTAACAGGATGAAAATCACCAACTTTACATTTGGAGAACTGAAAGATGTCAGAAGAACCACTGAAGGAAGACACATGGGAAAAGATATGCCAATGAACTAATCAGGTGTAACCAATAAAATCAATTTAATTATGTTCTTTTAGAGCATCGTTTAAATACAACCACATCTTAGACAAAAAAAAAAAAAAGAAGAAGAAGCAATATTGGGAAAAATAAATGGAGGTAGTTTAATCTTTCTTCAGTATCAAACATCAGAAATACCATTTAGCTGTTTACCTTCCATATAATAGTACAACGCCACTTTTTATGAATGTCTTAATACTGTTACCCCAGTTACCATCAACCATGGCACAAGTAGTGAGTGCTAAGCCTTACCTCAAGAACCTGGTCAACAGAGGCAACTGGATGCAACATGATGAATAGTATGAAAACATACAAAATAATCACAGATATAACAAAAAAATCTGGAAAAGAAAGCAAACAATTAAATTAGGCATTTCCTTTAAATTAAAAGGTGCCAAACACCAAGCAGCATATAATTACTTCAAGGTTTGCTTTAAATACTTCTACTTAAGATGAAATATAAAAAAGCATATGCTGTTATTTCCTACAGTATAAAACATCCTGCAACACTACCAGACATCTAAAGTCCATTAGCTTCAATCTTAAATGTACGTCAGATAATAGTAGCACACGCTTTAATCCCAGCATTCCAGATACAGACAGATTTGAGTTCCAGGCCAGCCAGATATATATAGTTAGATCCTTATAAAGTGATTCCTCTGCCTCAATTCTACACTTACAAATGGAAATCTAATACTCTACTTCACAAGTACAATTAAATTAATGTATTAATTAGTTATCCAAAAGTTGTTACGGTAGTTAAAGAAAATGCTAGTTGGAAACACACAAATACCAGTAAAAATGGGGAGAAAAATAAAGAACTAAAAGAAATAGTCACAGGCAAGTATGATGGCACAGAACTGGAAAGCAGAGGTAGGAAGACTGAGTTTGAGATCACCCTGATCTGCAAGGTAAGATTTATCTCAGGAGAAGAATGAATCAAAATGGATGGATTGATGGATGAAGTTCCTGAAGACATAACCCATATTAGATACTTTTCAAATCTTACTGCATAATTTTGTTCCTGATAAATATATTCCTTAGTTAAGAAGTTTGTTATATTTACTTAAACATATTTTCAAAAGTTGCTGAGTTCCCCCCCTAACATCTGACTTCTAAAAACCTGCCAAGATTTCCATAAGAGAAAAAAAGTTATCTTCCACTGGAGATAAAACAGCTACTATGGGCTGGGAGATGCTTGGCAATGGAACACTTGCTGCTCTTCCAGAAGATACAAGTTCTGTTTCAACACCCATGTCTGGTAGCTAACACTGTATCTTAACTCCAACTTCAAGAGAATGTAATAACTTTTTCTGGCATCCGTGAGCACTGCATACATGTCACATGGAGATGGAGACACCCATAAATAAAAATAAGCCAAGAACTACTCAAAAAAGTTAGATGTCACATGGCTTTTCATAAGCACACAAAATTTTTTGAAAATAATCTAAGATTTCAACAAAGAATGGAAAATCAACTATTCAGGGAGGTAGGAAATGTCTAGTAGATTACCCTCAGCTTCTGGGTCCTCTTAGAATTGTCAGCAAAGTGAGCATTTAGCAATCCTGTTAAAATAAAAACGCTCTTCACTAGAGACAAGTGCCAGAGTAAGTTATGTGTTGCTGGTGATTGTGGGTCTGGGGTAAAGTGGTTAAGCTAAGAACAGCTTGGGCTATGGACACTGTTAGATATAAACAAAATCTAAAATAAGTTAGTTTGATGGTACATGTCTACAATTCCAAGATTTGGGAGACTGAAACAGGAACCATGACCAGTTAAAGGCCAAAAAGCTTGAAACATCACCAGTTCAAGTCCAAAAAGCCTAGATTGGATGGCAAGACACATCTCAATGTTCTCCAAAGAACATTGGAAATATAACAGGTAAAATCAAGTCCCAGCTGACTGTAACACAAATCTTTCTGACAGAAAAGTATTTCTTGCCTATTCCCTAAAATAATACATAAAGCAAAATACACACCTATGATTTGTCGTCCTTAATACACACTTCTCTTGCTGCTTCTCAATCCTGTTTCTTTCTCAAACATTAACTGCCACCTTCTGACTTAGCTCTCTATCTATTCCTTTTCCTTTACTCAGTTATCTGTCTCTGAAAGGTCAACTTATTTTGTAGGGCTAAGTTATCTGAACTATTCCCACCAATTAAGGCATGACAACTAGACAGGAGAGATCAACATTTCAGCTCAACACCTTCAAAGGCAAAGACAGGAAATGGACTTTGCAAACAAAAACTACAAGGACCAAGCAACAACTAAAACAGAAGCTGAAACTACTGGGCATGACGGCTCACACCCACAACACCACAACCTGGGAGGTGGAAGATCAAAATGTCACTCTCAGCTACATAAGATCCTGCCTCAAACAAAGAAGTTCAATCTAGTGAGAAATGACAGTTAAGAGCACATTATCATGGTACTTGAAATGGAAGCACAGTCAAACATAATAGTGTACATATACCTGCTTGAAAATGTGTAGCTAGACTGAGAGTAAGTTTTATTTTAAAATGAAAACAAATCAGAAAGGAGGGAATACCATTCAGGAGAGGGTGCATCCAGTATTAGTAACAGCAACAAATAAAAATCTCAAAATAAATGTAATATATTACATTGATTAGAACTTGAGAACAAATGAATGGTCTTAGCAAAGAACTAGTCCAAAAAGTGCAATGGCAATGCACGTCAGTGACAGGAAAACAAGGGGTGAAAAAAAACTAGCAAAAGGTATATAGCCAACTATATTGGTTCCTCTAAACACTCTTGCATATGCTTTACAGAATTTTATGATTATATCTCTGTTGAAATATTTTAGAACATTTAAAAAGAAATCAGGGCCATCATCAACAATAAAGTGGTTATCATGTATTCACATCAATTGGAAGCTAAATGTGAAGTTTTCAAAATCCTGTAACATATGTATTTGCGGAGCGGAAGGGGATTTGAGATAGGGCTTCTCTGTGTAGCACTGGTTACAACTCTCCCTGCTTGGAATGACTCAATCAAAGAATGACTCTTACTTCTCAACAATTTAAGTATAGATAGGGTGGAGTATATTTCCTTAGATAGTTTTCCTAATAGGGAAACAACCTGAGGGCAGTTTTCTTTATAACTAAAAAGAGAAAAAAAAGGAAAACCACTATCTCTAGACACAGTGCACTGCACCCGAAATCTTAGCAAAAGTACGAAATCTGCCAAGAAAACTTGGTGAGACTCTGTCTCAAGAGATAAAAGAGGGGGTTGCTGATCAGGGTGCATAAGCCCAGTGACCTGAGTCTGATCTCTGACATCCACGTAAAAGGTGGAAGGAGAAAGCGGACTCCTATCCTCCACATACAATATTAAAAAAAATAAGAAAGGAAGGTCTAGGGATGAGGCTCAGTTGGAAGAATGCTTTATCCAGCATTACACCCAAGGTTGGGCCCCTAATGTTACAGAAACTGGGTTTGGTAGCAAACACTTGCAATCCTAGCACTCAAGAAGTGAAGGCAAGAGGATCAGAAGCTCAGGGTAACCTCAGTTATGCAGCCTGAACTACCTTAAAAAGCAAACAAACAAAAGAGAGTTGGGGATACAGTTCAATGGCACAATACCTAACTAGCTTGTGGTGAGTCCCTAGGTTTAAGCCCTTAATATTATCTCCACTCCCTTCCTCTAACTCCACTCCCACAAAAGGTTCAACTTTCAGTACATTAACTTTAGTTTTATAAACTAAAACTATACATATACTAAAGGTACTATTTTAAGTATCACAGAAGGGTTCTAGTGGGTCTTAGTAACAGCTATTAGTACAGTTACACAATAACATGTATAATAAATACACAGTAATAAAGTTCTTACCTTAGAGAAGAATTATCAGTACCAAAAGGAAAGAACAAAAAACTTACCAGTAAAAACAAATTTCAATGTTAGCTGTTCAAACATGCACAAGGAAAAACTTGGGATAGTGCATGTGGAAATGTTCAACTTTAGGATAAGAACAAGGTCTAATGATTATTACTTCTATGATGTCTAAAATGTAGACCTGGCATTTTAACTGAACAATGATGTCTTTTCATGGCCACAACACAAGAATACCTGCCATTTTCTCCTTGACAGCAAAAGCCATGTCAACTAATGTTTTCAATTGTTAAAACTGTTATTAAGTGTGTGGACTGGCATATGTGAGAGCATCTGTGGAAGTCACAGGACTTCTGTGTGTATGCAGGTGAGTCTCTCTTTGTAGTTTTATGTAGGTTCCTAGGACTCGACTTAGGTCAAGTTTCTCAAGTAGGACAACTGCTAGGCCATCACATTTAAATTTAAATAATTTAAATTTTTCTATTTTTAAAAGCTGGTAACTAACACATAACACCAAGTTTTGTTCATAAGGTCTAATGTATGTCATCTATGTTATTGCCTATGGACAGACAGAGATCTCTATGCTGTTTGCCAATTCTGTATGGGAAGCAAATGTGATTTAAAATTAGGAACTCCAAAGACACTGACCACAACAGTATGAGTAGGGAAAAGGGTAGGTGGTTCTGTATAGAATACCCCAAAGGAAAAGATATCCACTGTCTCCTGAGCGCCTCCTACAGATTCCTGTTTCCAATTCTAATTCTCTGTACTCATTCTCAGAAAGGAAAGGGCCCAAAGTAACAGGATATGAAAACCAGTTGTCGCTTTCACTTTTAAAATTGTAGAGTAGGAATGCTCATGAAAGTGAGAATAAGAAAGTAAACATGCAAAGATTTAGAATCTTGTCTAAGAATTTAACAGTTGAAATTCTTCGTTTATTTTATTCATTTTTTAATTTTTTTAAAACTTTACTTTTGAGACAGGGTCTGGCTTTGTAGTTAGATAGGATTGTGATTGTCACACTTACAATTCTTGTAGCAAGGCTGCCTGAATGGTTTTCCTTTTGAAAAGGCAACTGCCACTGTGAGGTACTGAAAACTGGAGATAAAAAATACTGTGGTATTTTCATAATTTTGTATTGTACACGCATCGAGTTCAGTTCCGTTGTACAAATGCGATGAGTTCCAACACCCGCTTCTTGTTGTATTACAAACACTGGAACACAAAAAGATCCTATTAGGAGCTTAGCAGCATCCCCCGAGAGGCCAAAATGACATCTACAATACAAAGAAGTCAGATGCTACTTATAGCAAAAGACACAACAGCAGCACAGGGCAGGCAGAAAAGCTTTTCTTCTTTCCCTTTAGCTAGGTATTCCATTATGTATCATTAAAATTATAATCAAGTAGTGTCTTTTAAATTTTTGGAATTTTAGTAGAGTGAAGAACATGAACAGGCCAGAGGTCTGCCTTTTTGTGCTACCACTTTTAACTGCGGGATATATATAGTGAGTCCCACTTGGATCCTAAAAGACTAGGTGATTAAGGTTTTGCCGCCATGAGTGGATTAATTTATTCATGTAATTAACAGATAAATGGGCATATGAGAAAAGGTTTATTATAAAACCCAGTTTAAATAGTCTCTCATTGTGTGATGTCAGGTATTGCCTAAGACACCACCATCAAAAAAGATATCGTGTAATTTCTCAGTCAGGAGGTAAGATAAATCGATTTTCTTAATACAAGGTAACTCTGTGGTACAGAGTAACAAAAATTGAGACACTCTTCTAAAGTTACCTTGAAAAAAAGAAAAAAATTTATTAGGTGTTTAAAACAAGCTACATGAAACTCCTGTACATATTTCAAGGCTCATCGTTTCATATTTATCTTACACAAATACTTATAATGGATTGACAACTTACTCTGAATATGGATCACACACTTTATACTGCTTGACCCAGAAAAAGCCCAGCGACTGAAATCCAACAGAGATGACAATCTGAGACAAGACGGAGAAGAGGAGTGCCCCAGATATAAGGCCTGAAGGTGGTCTCTGTGCCACAAGTTCTTTCCAGGCAGGATTCAAACTCACTATATTTGAAAGAACAGAAAGTTTCTGTCTAAATTCCCCACTAATAAAAGCATAACAAAATTCACTTAGAAATGAAACTTTTAAAATTCTGGTTTTGTCTATTAAGTATTTAGTAAGAAAAGTTCCTAAACACTAAGTTAAATGTCATATACATTATAATAACCATAAAACATTTTATTCTTTTTGTTTTTTCTTTTTTTGTTTTTTTTTTCTTGTTTTGTTTCATTTTGTTTTTTGAGACAGGGTTTCTATTCTCTGTGGCTTTAGAGCCTGTCCTGGAACTAGCTCTCGTAGACCAGACTGGTCTCAAACTAACAGAGATCCATCTGCCTCTGCCTCCTGAGTGCTGGGATTAAAGGCGTGCGCCACCACCGCCGGACTAAAACATTTTATTCTTATTTCAAAAATGCCTCCAGTAAGTTTTACATTTCTGTTAAAATTCGTGGGAAATACTAGTTCCAGTAAAATAAGAATATCTGTAAATCAACATGTGGTAGTGCACACCTCTAATCCAGAACAGGGGAGGCAGAGGCAGGAGGATCGCACGTCTGTGATACACAAGCAAAACCATGTCATATCCTGTTATGTCATAACATAATGCAACATGAAACTGGAAAAAGAAATAGTTACATGTTTTCCCTTTGAAGAAATTACTAGTAATGTTTGAAGCAATATGAATAGAATAGTAACATAAAGTAGAATTAGTCCAATTGACAGACAATACATGGGATCTACCAATTTTTCTTCTACAGTTTGTTTATCTTTTGATAATAATGTGTGAAAAATCACACTGACATTCATTAAAAGTCTGCTCACCCATTAACTAGTTTTATCATCCATTAAGCATCTTAACTCGGCAATTCTCATCAGGGGTAATTTTAGCACCCCAGGAAAGATTTGGTGAGGGCTGTTATAGCAGATAGAATTTTGACACATATTAGTTAATATCTTAATGATAGTATCACCAACTTCCATTCAGATAACTAAACATAGAGAGGCTTGGAACTTTCACCCTTATGTTCTAGTTATGCATAGAAGAAGATACTCTGTAGGCTATGGCAAGAGAAACCAACTGAGTCACACAACCCTCCACCTATAATCAATCTGTCCTGCCTGCAAGATGTACTGGGGACATGTGAGAGTGGCCAACCAAAGACTGGTCCAACTTGAGGCCCGTGCGCCACAAGAGGGAGCCCATGTCAAACACTACTTAGACAGCTAGAAACTGGAGACTAGATAACTGGAGGCCTGGGGTAGGGCCAAACACAACTGGTCTTTGGGGAAGGAAAAAACATCAACAAAATGATTCCTAATGATATTCTGCTATACTCACAGCAGTCATCATCAGAGGCTTCCTCTGGCAGCTTATGGGTGCAAGTGCAGAGATGCACTGTCAGACATTATACAGTCTAGATTAAAGGTTCTTCCCCTTGGAGATTGAAAAACCCCATGTAAAAGGGGGAAGAAAAGACGGTGGGACAGAGGACACCAGGCCAAAGTGGTCCACCAAATCAACTAAGTAGGGTTTACATTGGCTCACAGAGACTGAAAGGGTAAGTACAGGGTCTGCATGGGGCTGCACCAGATGCTCTACATATGTTATGGCTGTTAGCTTGGTGTTTTTATGGACTCCTTAGAGGCAAGTGGGCTTATCTCTGACTCTTTTGCCTGCTCGAGAGTCTTTTCCTCCTACTGGGTTGCCTTGTCCAGTCTCAATGAGGGCTTCATCTTGTCTTATTGTATCTTGTTTTGTCTTGTTTGGCTGTTGTCTTTAGGAAGTCTGCTCTTTTCTGAAAAGGAAATGGAGGGGGAATGGGTCTGGGGGAGATGGGAGGTTGGAAGACGCTAGGGGTGAGAGGGGGAACTATGTTCGGGATGTACTGTATAAGAGAAGACTCTATTGAGTAAAAAAGAAAACCTGATTTTTAGTTAAGAGAAAGATAATGCATCAAGGTAAAGTCAATATAATGGCTAACAGAGGATCCTCTGATTTACTAACTGAGCAAGGGGAGATAAGTAATTAGTATTTTAAGGCCCAAATGTTGTGAATAAATCCATTATAAAGGTTTAAAAAAAGATACAAAAACGATATAAAATTTATGAGCCAGGATTAAAGCTCACTTCCAGTCTAGAAAACAGACAGGGCAAAATATAAGCAACCAGTAATGAAACATATACAGTAATAAAGCAGCCAGTAATAAACATATTAAATTATTTAATATTACAAATTTTCAAATACTTTGAGAATTAAGAAAATTAGCAAAATACTTACTTGTAAATACCACTACCAAAATGATTGCCAGATCAATGAAGAGAAACTGAAAGTCTCCCAGGTTACTCAAGATCTACAAAAGCAATTGTGAAAGTTTAAGAGTATTTTCATAGCACTGTTGCCAGGCAACAGCCTTGCTGTCCCCCCTACAAGACACTTTCAAAATGATCCTTCAATCCGCTTAAAAACCGAACTACATTTGCTTCTGAAGTTAATCAACAATAACATCATTTGTATAATTTTGACCGAATGTTAATATATGAAGGTTTAACTTTAAAATCTGACAAAGCATTCTTGATTTTGACAAGAAATTTTTACTCAAAATATTCAGCATTCCTAATCCTCAGCATTCTTAAATATCAGTATCTTGAGTTTCTTTATACTCTAAGTGTTCCTTTTGTAAATAGTAAAAAGGGGATGTTCTCACAGTGTCAGTAGGAAATCTACAGGGAGATCACGTCAATCATAATCTGATAGAGTAACCTATCGCAACTACTGTCAAGATTCTCTTTCAAAGACAAAGTTCTATCAAGTATTCCTGAAATGTCTTTCTGTAAATGCACAGTGAAGTTAACTACAACTGTGATTATAACACAGATGGCATACATCTAACATAACAGCAGCAGAGAATCAGGACTTCAAGGCTCTCCTCAACCACATAATGAACATGAGGCTAGCCTACAAACATGAAATTCTGCCCAAAATAAGCCAAGCCAATCGTACTACAAACTAAAAAGAATAAAATCAGCATTTCTTCCCCACAAAGCTCTAGTCATGGGTGCAGGCTTTAATGAACAAATTAATGGCACTGCTACTCATTCAACTTTATTATCTCAAGGTAATTTTATATACAAATTTCATTTTTAATCAATGTACAAAAAAAATCAACAAACACATGCCCAATATCTTTGGTGTCTGACCATAAAGAACATCCCTTGGCAGTACTGGTACTCACAGAATACAGGAGAGTAACACTGAAGTATTGTATGATGCTGTATAATGCCATAAATTTAAACACACAGAAAGATGTCATTAAAGCAGCACGGCCCTCCCTGTGAATAGAAATGTCAACATGTGATTAACAGCACAGCAGCTTAAGCTTGACTTGCAGAGTATGATTACATCATGACTGATGAACATCAACATTCACAGCGACAATAAAGTTTGATACCAAAAAACTATGTCACGACACAAAAGCATCAATCTACTATTAGTGAGTTACAGGTCAAATGCATATTCAAACAAGTCTGTACTGCTCTGTATGATATTTTACCCCATTATATTATAAAACTTCGAGCCATGAATACTAGCTCTCAGATCTGTATTCATAGCCACTGGGGAGGCTGAATCTGGAGGCTTATACAAGTCCAAGGTCATCCAGGCTACATAGGTAATTACTGGCCAGCCTATGATACAAAGTGAAACTCAGTCTCAACATACAGAGCAAGTCAGGAGGTGCATGTGTGGTGGGGTGTGGTGGGGTGGGGTGGGAGTCGGGGGTCCTGGGGCTGGAGAAGAGGCTTAGCAGTTAGGAGCACTGGCTTTTCCAGAGGATCCGGCATTCTATTTACAACACCCATTTGACAATTCAAAAGTACCCATAACTCTAGTCCCAGGGCTCAGATGCTCTTTTCTGTTCTCCTTAGATATCAAGCATGTACGCATGCAAAACACAAACATGTTTTATTGAGGTCTCTTGTAAGAAAAAAGAATGGAGGGAGGAAGATTATTCCAATTTCCATTACCTGATGAGGTTCGGCACACAGGAAATACTAGGTGTCTTAGAAGTAAAAGGAGATGCCACAGAAGCTTCAAGCTCAGACAAGGAAATGCCACCATGTGCCCTCTTCAAAGCCTAATTGTTTCAAGAATATTGATTAAATTTTGTGAATATAACTCAAGCTAAAGAACAAACTCCAAAATAAATCACAAAAACCTTACTTACACCACAATCATTTGCACCATCACCGCACATCCCAACAAAGTAACTAAAAAAAAAAATAAGATTAAGCTTTTATTACACATCACATATAAAGTAACGGATTCTCCAGCAATCACAGAGAGCTAACAGATCAATGAGTTTTCACACTAGATGAGCACAAACAACATTCTACTGACAGCACATTGGGCTGAGACTGGCATGACCTGAGTAATTTGTTTCTGCTTGAAAATGGACAAATAATTTTGGTGTCTTGAATTCCTTATCTGTGGAACACAAGACTTCAGCCTATATATTTTATAATACACTTTTTGTGTTATTAGTAAGGATTTCTCCCCTTAGATACTTCAAACATTACTGGCTACTAAAAATTTCAGAGTCCTGAACCAAGTGCATTTGTATGAACCTATACACCCAGAACTTGGGAGGATCAAGAGTCCAAGCCTAGCTAACACACTACCCTCAAAATAAGACAAAACAACAACAACAACAAAAAAAAAAACCCAAATTATAGTCACTTCTTTCAATATGTACCCACACATGTACAAGCAGCACTAAGTGGATTGAGTAGCTTGAAAATAAGAAGAAAGAACACATGAGCTTGGAAGGGAGAAGTGTAAGGAGACTTGGGAACAGAGGAAATGGGGAATGGGCTTGTTTTTAACAAACTATACATGAATTTCAATGAAAAGAGCAGTAAATTACAATCTGTGTGGGTATAAACTTAAGAAAGGACTGTGAATATTTTTCTTCAGCCAGATAAATATGTGAGCTTGTTTACCTATCTTATAGAAAATAATTCTTCTCTCTCTCTTTTTTTTTTTCTCTCTCTCTCTCTCTCTCTCTCTCTCTCACACACACACACACACACACACGCATGCAAATGTACTTTAAATTTTTCATCTGTTATAAGAAGTGTTTCAGATTTTTTTGGAAATTTACATATATTGAAATGCTTGCTTCAAATTCTATCGTGACAATAAAGTTTAAGATTTTGAAGTATTTCAGATTTCTAGTGTTTGGATTAAGGATGCTAAACTTACACATGAGAAATATTAATTACTATTCTGAATATGAAAATGAAATTACAATTTATTTGAAAATTACAATGAGAGGAAAAGCCAAAAAAAAAAAAAAAACCTATGAATACTTACTCTACATTTTGCAATGCTTCTACCAATTGTGTCTTCTGATCTGGTGCCATTCGAGCAAACACGGTGCCATGTAACATCAACTAGAAAACATACGTTTTTGTTTTTATTTTAAAAAAATGTTGTTCATAAATAGCACATGTAAACATCCATAAATTCATAATGCTTACCTTAGGAACAAGATCTTGAAAATGTTCGAGTATCACTGAAAATGACTTTCCATTCATTGCAAAATGATAGCGAGTTGACGGAAGATCCTCTAAACTATCATGGGCAAGTTTAATTGGAATAGCCTGTACATGAGACATCAGAACAATATTCAGGAAGCCATACCAAGAAATACAGTTGTATGTTTACTATATTTATTCCAAGATTAAACTATTTCACATTATATATTATACATGTCATTAAAATCTTAGTTTTCCCAGCATTTGGAAGGTAGAGGCAGGTAGACCTGAGTTCAACGCCTACCTGGTCTATGAAGCAAGTCCAGAACAGTCAGGGCTACACAGAGAAACCCCGTCTCAAACAAACAAACAAAAACTTTACCCATTTATTTAAAAAGTAGGGGGAAAAAAATCAATATTAAGATTACCTGTAATATTTATCAAAAAAGGAAGGAAGGAGGAAGGAGGGAGGGAGGGAGGGAGAGAGGGAGGGAGGGAGGGAAAGAGAGAAATTAATCCTAGCAATAAAGAGGCAAAGGCAGGATCAGCTTTGATTTGAAGTGATTTGAGAAATGATTTTTCTGTTTTGTTTTCGTTTTTCCAGACAGGGTTTCTCTGTGTAGCTCGGGCTGTATTGTATAACTCACTGTGTAGACGAGGCTGCCCTGGAACTGAGATATCACCTTCCTTTGCCTCTCAAGTGCTGGGATTAAAGCTTTGTGTCAGTCTTGCTGGGATTAAAGGTATGTGCCAACACCCGAGAACTGCATTTTTATGAACTGTCTGGATCATTTACTGCTGATTATGGTTAAAACTGAGTATTTGGGAATCTTACACTTTGAAACTACGGTTCTCAATTTTGACTAAATACCAAAATTTAAACATTCAGATTTTTACGCTAATGAATCAGCATAGTTCTCACCTCTATTTTCATTTAGTTTTTGTTAATACTGGGTTTTTCTGTACCACTGCTTGTTTTGCCCCAGACTAAATTCAAATAAACAAACTTAAAAAGATAATATAAATATTACCTCTGAGTCAATTGCTGATGATTCATTACACTGTGTTAGGGAGTCTGCATAATGCCAATTGATCTTGGCAACTTTCCCATCCTTTGGAGGTAATGCTTCAGCAATAATAACTTTATCCTGAGGTAGAATCATTCCACAGTCTCTGGCCACAGAGACAGCCGTCAACATGTTGTCACCTAATTTTCCAAAGTATTTTAAACACATTAAGGTTGAAAAGGAAACATAAACCGGGCGGTGGGGGTGCACGCCTTTTATTCCAGCACTCAGGAGGCAGAGGCAGGTGGATCTCATTGAGTTCGAGGCCAGCCTGGTCTACAAGAGCTAGTTCCAGGAAACAAAATACAAAAAAAAAAAAAAAGATAAGGAAACATAATGTATAGAATGAGTACTAGGCATCTACTATAGTGCCTATGGCTGGCAGAAGGACCCCCACAATAGCTCTGCTGGAAAGGGAACTGTTGCCAAGCCTGATAACAGAGTGTGAGTCCCAGCACTCACATGGAAGGAGAAACTGACTCCTGTAAGCTATTCTCTTGAATTCCACACATACATACACATAATAGAGAAAAGAATTATAATTTTAAAATTCTAACCTAATTCTAACAAACACTCGATATATGCCAACACTGAAAATTATAAATAATCCCCAAAATGAACAAGGCATGCACTTATCCCCCAAGAATTTTATATTACGTCACAAGAAACATTCATGGATAATTCACAAGTCAATGTACAACACAGGGTACAGCAGACAGAACAAAAACCAAAAGTTTCAGTTTCTCCTTCAAAATGAACTACATTTTCTATAAACAGATTTTGTTAGAAATCTAAGTGAGAATTATAGGTATCTTATTAGCTTTGAAAATTATTTAGAGTTGAAACAGGACAATACATGGCAGAGCCACTAAACAGACACTAAATGGATACCTGACTATTCATCAATCTCATACAACTGGAGCTTCAGAGTCACACTCACCTGTGACCATGACAGTTCGGATGTTGGCTTTATGCAAATCTTCAAGTACTGCAGGGGTTTCCTGTTTTAATTTGTTCTGCATTATAATCAATCCCATAAAATCCATGTTGTTTTCAATGGCATCTCTGAAAAGGATATATAATAGTTTACTTTGGACAAAAGATTGACAGAGAAATCTAAAATATCTAAAAGCTATAAAGTAAAACACTCACATAATGAATGAGCCACAGATACAAGTACCAGTTCACTATCTCCAGAAACTTAAACATCTATTCAAGGGAACAGAAAGCTCTATGAAAACTCTATGTGGCTGAACAACTAGTCTTTAAGGAGGACAATGGCAAAAGGTGACGTTAGAAGGAAAGAAAGGACAAATGTGTCCTTTTGTGAGAATTAGGACATACCTGTGGTTTTCAGAGTGACTTATGTTATCAGTTCACTAGTATTGTTTTTGTATGTATTGTATGTATTTTGCCTGCATCTATGATTGTGGTGTACCTAGTACCCATGGAAGTCAGATGAAAATGTTGGATCCCCTGGTTCTGGGGTTATGGGTGATCGTGAGACACTATATGAGTTAGAAACCAAACCCAGGTCCTCTGAAAAAGTAGGCAGAGCTCTTAAGTTCTGAGCTACATCTCCAGCCTCCTTGCTCTGTTTTTGTTTGTTTATATTTTTTAATGTACAGATCACCTCTCCAAAACAGGCAGAAGTATCAGGACAAACTAAATTCCTTTCGCGTACAAAATACTAAACACAGCCTGAAAAATTACAATGTCCTTAAAGGCTAAGTACATCATCAGCTATTCAAAAGGAACAGAACGGTGTAAGCTAATAGCTGTAAACCTGACAATCTAGGACCAACTGGAGACAGGACTCTGAGTAATCCTGTCAGGGATAATCTTGCTGAATATGTTGAGGTGGGAAAACCCACCCACTGTAGGTGCCACCATTCTCTGGCTGTGATTCTGGCCTGCAGAAATGGAGAAAGAGACAAGTAGAAGCACAAAATTCAGACTTCTGTTTCCTAACTGTGATGAGACTGGATGCTTCAAGCTCCTGCCGCCTCGACGGCCCTACCCCACCATGATGACTGTACCTTGAACTGTGAGCTAAAAAAAAAACCCCTTTCTTCCTTAAACTGCTTTAGCCAGGACCTTATCATAGCCACAGGAAAAGTTAAGTCAAATATAAAGCCTTATCTATATAGCAGAGTAAAAGATGTCAGTAATGTCCTTCGATAAAGGATAGGGGAAAATGGGAGAGAGGGAATATCAGGTACTATAACTCATGATTTGTGTTTGATTCCTATTGGGTGGTTTTAGTAAAAATGAACACTAGAATCATTTACTGCTCCTAAAACATGCCTGGCACAAAGTAAAATTTTGCTAGCATGCTGGAGGATGGCTCAGTGACTAAGAGCACATAATACCACTTTTGACAGGGACCCAAATTCAGTTCCCAGCAACTATATCAGGTAGCTCACAATTGCCTGTAACTCTAACTCAAGGGGACCACTCACTCTTGGTATCCATGGGCCCTGCAATCACATGTACAAATCCATACACAGATATACAAGTACCTTAAAAATCAAAATAAATAACAATTTCACAAACTACAAGTATTTCCAAGACTTCTAAAGAAAACAATTATTTGAAGAACATAAACACAGGCAAAAAAATTGATGAGTGGGGCATGGTGGCCCACGATTTAATCCCAACAGTGGGAGGAAGAGGCAGGCAGATCTTTGATTTCTAAGCAAGTCTGCTCTACACAGTGAATTCCAGAATAGTCAGGACTACACAGAGAAACTGTCTTGAAAACCAAACAAAAAAGGCAATATAGAATAAAAAGGAAAAAAAAAAAACCCCAGTTTCACCTCAAACACCAAAAACAAAGCTACAATATACATATTTCACACATTCAACCTTTACTGTACATGACTTACAGGAACATAAGGATACATTATGGGGACTATAGGACTGCTACTCAATCATACCTGCTAATATGTTGTACTTTATGCCACGTCAGTTTTGACTCCAATTTTCTGTGTGCAAGAGCAATCACACGGAAGCCTTGTTTGGTATAATCTTCTAAAACTTTCTCAAAATCAATTGGAACTTTTAAAAATAAGAGGAAATTTGATTTTAAAATTGTTACTGTAAGCTTATGTAAACAGCTGAGTTTTACCCAGAACCTAGTTACTTCCTTACCTGTTTCAGGTTTACAAAGACTGGCAATAACCTCGGGGGCTCCTTTCATGTAGGCATCCATTTTCTTGTCACCTAGTATCCTTGCAACCACACTCATTCGTTGTAAAGCAGAAGAAAATGGGAATTGTCGAACAATTCCTATCTCATAAACAGCCTATTTAATTTAAAAAAATGCATAAAGGATTTATTCTTGAAGAATAAAAACAAATGTACTTAATCTAAGAAGAAAGCATTCTTCACTTACTGGAAGTTCAAACAGCTCCTAAAACCAAGAAAATAAGGTACAGATTAATATACATCAGCTACAAAAAACTAAAACATCCACAAAATAACAAGCAACTTTTGAGTATTTAAGTCAGAACCTAAGAGTCCCAATACAACATTGCCCATTTAAAAAAAAAAAAAATGCTGTCATGGTGTAGCTTCATGGTATGACCACCCAGGTAGAATGCCTATAGCTCAGGCTTCAATTCCTAGCACAGGATGTCATGGATTAAGGGGGGGAAATAGTGGTAAAACATTTTCAAATATTCTAGAATCATAAAAATACTGACACATTAAATGCTAAAATAAATGAGAGACAATGAAAAATTCATCTAAGAGTAAAACTAGTATGAGTGCTTTTTTATAAATTATTTGTATACAATTCTAGGGATACAGATGCAAAGTAAAAAGATTAGCTATCACGTGTAAGTGGCAAAGGACACAAGGGCACTGAGAATTAAATTTCAACATTTCCTGAGAATGCCTGTCTCCCACCAGGGTAGCCATTCTGAAAAGCTCAGTTAGAACACACCTGTATCTGCCTGGGATAACATACCCAACACCCTTCTGATGGAGGTACTTCTAAACTAGAATTCAAAGTGGCATCCTACCATTTCTTGGTTTCCTACAGCTGTAGATTCCGGAAACAGCTGTTTGGAAGGACGAACCACAGTGGGCATAATTCGGTTATGAAGTGCTGTTTCTTCCTCAGTTGCTTCTTCCAAAATCTAAAAGTAAAACATTCAACATACCACAAAATTCCATATTCGTTTCATTTTTAAGTGGTTCATTGGGAGGTGGGGAAGCAATTGTTGCCAAAGGACATATGAACACTAAACTATTAACATAAATACATTTTACTTAAATATATTTATTTTTATTAATATAAATAAAATAAAACATAAAAAGAACTACTCAGACACCTCGCAACCTTTGGGTGAAGGGAGAAGTAGCTTAGAAGTAGAATAAAGCAGCAAATATGAAGCCTGTTGTCTTCAGAATGAGCTGGAGGCACATGGTTTTTAAAGATTTTTACCCTATAATACAGGGATTTTCTTTCTGCCAACAAATGACACAAATGTGTATGTATTCACATGTATACACTTGTAATCCCAGTACTCAAGAATACAAAAGCAAGGCCAGGCGGTAAGTAGCACACACCTTTAATCCCAGCACTTGGGAGGCAGAGGCGGGAGGATCTGAGTAGTGAGTCTGAGGCCAGCCTGGTCTACAAAAGCGAGTTTCAGGCCAGCCAGGACTGTTACTCAGAGAAACCCTGTCTCAAAAACAAACAAAAGAAATACAAAAGCAAAGGAATCACGATTTTCACACTAACCTAGGCTACACAGCCATCTTAAGGTCAACTGGACTACAAGAGAGCTTTTCTCAAGCCTAGACAGAGTTCAGATATAGTTAATGGAACCACTAAATAAAAATAAGCTGTACAAGCCGGGCAATAGTGGCGCACGCCTTTAATCCCAGCACTCGGGAGGCAGAGGTAGGCGGATCTCTGTGAGTTCGAGACCAGCCTGGTCTAGAGAGCTAGTTCCAGGACAGGCTCCAAAGCCACAGAGAAACCCTGTCTCGAAAAAAAAAAAAAATAATAATAAGCTGTACAAGATAGCATGTGATTTTAGAGCCATACCATGAAATCATAAACAGCTTAGCTACTATAGTCGTAACCTCTTGATTTTCACCTTTTTAAAAAATATATATATTTTTTTATGTGCATGGGTATGGGTATTTTTCACCCAAACATATTATCTGTACACCTTGTGTGTACATGAGAGGGTCTGGACTTACAGAGAGCTTTAAACTGCCATATGATGCTGGAAACTGAACCTAATATTATGCAAGAATAGCTTATCTGACCATCTCAAAAACTGGGATGTATCTTATTGTCCTATGATCAGTTTTAAAGGCAAGTTTAAGAAGAGGAAACCACAATTTAAAAAATGCTCCTACCAGACCAGCCTGTGGGGTATTTTCTTGAGTAATGACTGATGTGGGAGAACCTAGCCCCTAGAGATGGTGCTACTCCTAGGCAGGTAGTCCTGGATGGTATGAGACAGCAAACTGAAGCCAGGTAAGGTGGCAGGCACACTTAGTCCCAGCGCCCAGAGGCAGAAGTGGTGGGTCACTGTGAGTTCAAGGTCAGCATGGTCTACATAATGCATTCAAGGACAGCTAGGGCTATGTAGAGAGACCCTGTTTCAAAAACCAAAAACAAAACATACAAACAGGCTGAGCAAGGCTTGGGAAGCAAGCCAGTAAAAGCGACACTCTTCCATGGCTCTGCCTTAGTTCCAGCCTCCAAGACATTCTAGTTTTGATTTCCTACATCAAGTATTTTAAATGATGAATGCCACGTGGAACTATAAACTCAAGTAAACCCTATCCTCCTCTCTAGTTGCCTTCGATCACAGTATTTTACCACAGCCATAAAAATCCTAACCAAAACAGAAATTAGCACCAGGTTGTGGGGTATTGCTATGGCAGACCTGACCATGTTTTAGAGAGGATTGTGGAAGGAGCTTTGGGTTAGAAAAGGCTCAGAGCTCAGTGGGTGGTGGCAGTCTTGTTTGTGAGATCCAGAGGGAAGAAACGACTCTATCAGGACCATTTATGTAATATATTTAAATTAAGAATCTGTGGTTCTGGTCAGCTGGAGTTGAAGAACTGGCTGTGATTAACGAAGGACCAGAACCACCGGGTAGTGGTGGTGCACACTTTTAATCCCACAAAGGAGGCAGAGTAGAGTTTCAGCACAGCCAGAGAAATCTTGTCTCGAAAAACCAAAATAAAACAAAACAACCAGATCCACTAAAGTAAAATCTTTGCTGGCACAATTGATGCTAGTCAGCTGGGGCTAAGAAATTAGCAGTGATTAAAAAAGAGGCCAGAACTGAGGTGAAATCTTCTGGAACTATTTCCTCAGAGTCAGCACACAATCTATTCCAGGGTAGACAAGGCTGCATCTCATGCAGACACCCCAAACTGATAATGTATTAGAATCACATAAACTTGTTTTGAAGGCATGAAAAGGGTCAGGAAGAACAGCTGAGGCTGGCACTGTGAGTAGCTGAAGTCTTGGAGGAGAGTCTGGGAGTAAGCTACTGGTCAAGATACAGACTAGCGCCATATAAACAGAGTGTAAGGCACCATAAAAACAGAAAGTTAAGAGCTCATGTCTGTACTCACGAATTAAAGGCAGGAGAATATCCTCAGCTATACAGCTATGTTTAAAATAAGCCTACGCTACAAAATGGGGGGGGGGGAACCTGTTTCAAAAGCAAAAAGGTTAAACTTACCCATCCAATAGCTTCAAACATTTTCAAATCAAGTGGGTCACCAGAAAGAACACCTTCAATTTTTGTAAGTGAATGACAAGTAGCCATGCAAGCAACAAATTGAGATTTTACCAATATCTCACTGCAAACATTGTCTTCTGGTAAAAGAAATCTAAACAGAGAATACACACTGAATTAGTTTTGCATTTTTCTAGACTCAACCAACATTTTAATACATCTTTACAGGTTTGTGATCAAGCAATAAATAAATAAATAAATAAAATAAAACAAAAATACAAATAAAACCAGGCCTGGCGGACACGTCCTGTAATCCCAGCACTTGGGACTGGAACAGGAAAACCAAGGAGTTCAAGATCAGACCAAAAATTACAGTAAAATACATGAAACCCCACCTGTACATCAATATTTAGGTGGAGGGCTGGGGATATTGTTCAGTGAGTACAGTGAGCTTGCTTGCTATGCAAGCCAAGTTGTATGCATGGTGTGTGTCTGCCTGCTAGCACTGAGAAACAAAGACAAAAAAATCTTGGAGGTTCACTGGCCAGCTGGTCTAGCTGATCAGTTAGAGATCCTGTGTCAGAAACTAAGATGGAGGGCAATAGAGAGAAGACACCAGACATTGATCTCTGGCTTCCAAAGGAGCACACATACACATGCAAACCTGCGTATACACATGTGTGGTACATGCACATACCCACCTCACATCTCAAACAGTAGAAAAAGAAATGGGGGGGGGGGGCGTTTACAATATAAAGCAGAAAAAAAAATTACCACAAAAACATACACTGTCCCAAAAACAAACCACGGGACATCTTGTTCACAACAGCTACGAAAAAAAAAAATCGGATACCTAACCATAAAACAAACCAAAAAAAGCAGTAAAAGATCCTTGCAATGCAAACTTTCAGAAACTTGAAGACAAGATAACAGAACTTCCACTCATGTCCACAGACTGACAGAAGAGTGTTAAAACAGCTGAATTACCAAGAGCTATCTATACGATTCTTTTCTCTTTTGTTTTCTGAGACAGAGTCTCATGATGTAGCTCTGACTGTCCTGGAACTCACTCTGTAGATTAGGTTGGCCTCAAACTCAAGAGATTCATTTGCCTCTGCCTCCTGAGTGCTGGGATTAAAGGTGTGTGCCACCACACCAAATTTAACAATTTATATATTGCAATGCAGTCCCCCATCAAAATTCCAGTGAATAGCTGGATAGAAAGAAATCTTAAAATTCATATGAAAGCACCAAGCCCTAACATAACCAAAGTAATCTTTAGCATAAAGAATATCTGACCCTCAAATTTTATTAAAGCCACAGTAACAAAAACAGCTCGGTACCAGTACAAAAACAGACAGGTTCACTAACTGGAATAGAACCAAGTACCCAGAAGTAAAAAAAAACCTTATAGTCTAAAGCTACTAATTCTCAACAAAAGCATCTAAAGCACACACTGGAAAATGTCCATATGTAGAAGAGTAAAACTACAGCTTCATCCCACGTCACTCAGAATGGACACAGATTACTTAATGTGAGACCTGACATTGTTAAATTGTTGGCAGAAAACATAAGCAAACCACTTCAAGACAGAGGCATAAGCAGAAGTTTTAGGGTTCCAAAAGCACAAGAACTGGCAAATTCGATTTCATAAAATTAAGAAGCTTCTGCGCAGCAAGAAAACCATTAACCAGAGTGAAGAAACAGAGAACGGAAAAAAACTTTTGCCAATTGCCTCAGAGCAATAACTATGAAAATGCAAGACCAAAATATCAAATCACTTTATCAATAAAACTGCTAGAGAAATAGTTCTCAGAAGAAATACTGGCTATTTGGCTAATAAACACTGGAAAAAGTCTTGAACATCTTTAGTCACCAAGGAAATACAAATCAAAACTATAGTTGCAATTCCAGCTGATACTCAGTCAGAACAGCTAGCACCAACAAAACAACCAACCAATGATGGTGAAGATTGTGGGGAGGAAAAACGCTTATATACTCTTTATTGGTGGGAATAGAAACTTGTTCAGCCACTATAAAAATCAGTAAGGTTCATCAAAAAAATTAAAAAGTAGAATTACCAGAAAGCCCAGCTGTAACGCTCTTGAATACGTGTGTGTGTGTGTGTGTGTGTGTGTGTGTGTGTGTGTGTGTGTGTGCGTGTGTGTGTAGATATATATGAGACTCTATGGATATCCAACATACAGAAATCTTCAACTTCCAGAATAGGCATGATGGCACATGCCTTTAATTCCATCAGAGGTAGGAGGATCTCTGAGTTAAAGGTTTACATAGTGAGTTCCAAGACAACCAGGGCCACAACAGTTAAGAAATGGAACCACCCACATATCCATCAACAAATGAATGAATAAAAAAATATACAGTAAAATTGTATTTAGTCAAAGAAAGCTTACATTAGCACATTTATAACAGAAAATCATTTTCTTAAGCAGCAAGACAAATCACACTTTCATCTGAGGTATTATAATTGAAAACTGTTATATGTGTGCCGTGTGTATGAGCATGTTTGTTTATATGAAAACTAGAATGAGGAACATGAGAGGAAAAGATCTAAAGATAGGAAAAAAGCGGGCAATGTCATACATGTGACATGAAAGCAGAGGGTGAGATGGGGGAGAAGGAAACAAGTGTGGAGAAGAGGCCTAAGGGGGAACAATGGGGCAGAGGGGTAAACTAGAGCAAAGCAAAAATCAGATGAATGAAAAAGCCATAAGGAAATCCATTACTTGGCATGCTAACTGAAAAGCAATTAGTTAAAGACAGCTCAGCTTGGGATAAAGGTGCTTGCTTGCCCCACAAACTTGATGAGAAACCATGTCTGACAACCCAAGCCTGAGTTCCAGCCCTACATGTTGAAGGAAAAAAACCTACTCCTACAAGTTGTGCCGACTACAAGCCCACACCTGCGTGTATACACACACACACACACACACACACACACACACACACACCCCATAAATAAATTCTAAAAGATTTCGGAAACATATATACATGAGTAAGTTTATTATCTGTGGTAGGTACACGGTTGTCTATTATGTTAGAAAGCTGAATATGCTAAAATGTTAAAAGTTAACTAGACTATCTAGCTAATATTTACCGGGTATTTTCCACTCGCTGAATTCCCCAGAGATCTAAACCATCTTCGGTAAGCGTTCCAGTCTAAAATTTAAAAAAAGTACACATGGACAAAGTAAGGACAAATGCTTACAAAAAATAAAATGCTGAGACTCAAAATCAATCAACAACTATGCTACATATACACAAGAAAGAAGCAGAGTCTGAAAGAAAGGAAAGAGAGGTGGGAGCTCTCGTATACTGTTAGTGAACCTGCACAACCCCTCCTTCAAGTACAAGGCACTACCTGTGTGAACTGTATTTAATTTACTCATGTGCCAACAATATAAAGAAAATGCACCTGTCAACCTACTTACTCACCAACAAGCAGTATCTGTTGATGTCATGGTAGAACAGCACAGATTATGGAACAAGGAGCCAAGAAGAAAATTTAAACACCAAGAGGAAGCTAATAGTTAAACCCAGGTAAGAAAATGACCAGCTTTGCCAAGCAATGGTGGTGCACGCCTTTAATCCTAGCATTTGGGAGGCAGAGGCAGGCAGACCTCTTTGAGTTCGAGGCCAGCCTGGTCTACAAGAGCTAGTGACAGACAGACAGACAGACAGACAGAGAGGAAAGAAGGGAGGAGAAAGGGGGAAGGAAGGGAGGGAGGGACCGGTTTTCTTCAACAAAATGGTTGGGGATTCAATAAAAATCACAGAATATTAAAATACATATTTATGAGCAATTAAAAATATTGAGGGCTGGAGATATGGCTCAGAGGTTAAAAGCACTGGTTGCCGACTGCTCTTTCAGAGGTTCTGGAGTTCAATTCCCAGCAACCATATGGTAGCTGACAACTGTCTATAGTGAGATCTGGCACATACATGTAGATAAACACTGTATACATAATAAACAAATACATCTTTACACACACAAAACAGTAAATACACATTCACAGAGGCTGTTCTATTACATTATAATTGCCTAAAAATATGAAGGACCATATAATCTTTACTCATTTCCATTAAGTTTTTAATTTTTAAAATTAATTTGGTTTTGAGCATGGGTGTTTTGCTTGCACATACACTTGTTTATCCTGTGCGTGCCAGGTGCCCAAGGAGGTCAGGAAAGGGAACCATTACCCTGGAACTACAGTCACAGAAGGTTTTGAGGTGCCACATGGGTGATATGAACCGAACTCGGGCTCTCTGATCCTCTGAAAACAGTCAATGCTCATAAATACTGAGCATCTATCTATCTCTCCAGCAGCCATATATATTCAGTTTTATTACTAAAAGATTTTGAAAGACCTGGGCTCAATTTCCCGGCACCTACATGGTATCTCACACCTGTCTGTAATTCCAGGGGCCCTCTTATAGCCTGTGGGCACACATATATAGACAAAGATGCAGGCAAAACACCCATGAAGATTAAACAAACAAACATGTAAATAACAAAGGCCAGGAATGGTGGTGCATGTCTTTAATTCCAGTACTCAAGAGGGCGGAAGAAGGCAGATTTCTGTGAGTTTGAGGACACCTTGATCTACATGAATTCCAGGCCAGGCAGAGATATATAATGAAAACCAGTTTTAAGAGAAGGGGGAGAGTGAAGAAAAATATTTCAAAATCTACATACGCTAAGTAACTGGAAAGAAGGAAAACTACAGAAACACTAAAATTATGGGCAAATAAATTCATAAAGGAAATACTAATATAAACATTTAAAGTAACAGTAATTATTATGAAGCCAAACCAACCTTATCAAAACAAACAAGATTCAGCTGTCCACAGATATTTATCCTTTGGGGACTGATACAGAAAATCCCAACTTTTTTCAGTCTTCTCTGAGCATATACAATTCCAGCGGTCATTGCAGCAGGTAGTGCAGGTGGCACAGTAATTGTAATGATATCAAGAGACTTAATAATTATTTCCTGAACTTCTTTCTACAATTAACATAAAAACAAATGTCAAACTAACAATACTCAATTAATCGAATGAAAAAAACCACTATTTTTGTATTTATAAATATATACTCCTATCTATTACTGACATAATTTCTTTTCATTCAAAGATCTTATAAAATGGCTGAGGCATATAAACAGTAGCTTAGCATGTTTGAGGCCCTAGGTTCAAACCCCAATGCTTATAGGTAATTCTAAACAGAAGACTCAATGGACGAACAGAATAGCAGCTAAAGAAGACAAATATTTACTCTTAGAAATACTCGTCTCATTCTAACAGCTTGCATTCTTCACATGACTGCCTTCAAATCAAGTTGAACAAACTTTATCTGATACGGTCTCATCCTATGAGCACCTGGACAGTCTCCACAGAAGCTAGAAAAAAATCAGGCATGGGCCCTTACATGTGCCTCTTTTACTGAGTGTTTAGAAATCATTTTGCTAAGAATGGGGGTGCGCACCTGTAATCCCAGCACCCAAGAGGTGGAGTTAGAAACAAAAAATAGCTAAATAAGCAAGACAAGTTACAACTGTATATATTAATTTATTCCACAAATATGAAAGAGTGTTTCGTGCCAGACATTCTAAAGAATAATATGCTATGATGAAAATGATTTATACTTGTGGAGCTTTCTTGTTGAGCACGATCTTGCAATACAGTCCAAAACTAATTTTCCTGCCTAGGTCACCCAATATAACTTTGCCTTCGAATATAATATATACTAGTGTCACAGTTTTCTTCAGTCATAAAGTTAAAATTAACTTCAGTCATATGTGAAATAATTAAGTACCAAACCTATCAAGTTACATACCTTATTTAAAATGCTATTGATGATTGTATAGATAAACCCAATGCCAGCCACCACCACAAGACACAGCAGAAACAAGTAGGCATCTCTATAGAGTTTAAAATCAGTTGGCTTGGGATACAGTATAGAACGAACAAGCTGTCCTTTGGAAGTACTAAATCCTTTCAAAAATTAAAAAGAAAAATTATTTATCTTTTCATGAGAATTAACTTCCCAATCACAATTCCTTTATAAACATCCAGTAGGTTTCAAATTCAAAAGAGACTTTACCTGTTCTAACTACTATGGCTTTTACAAGTTCTCCAGTGTAAAAACGGGTCTGAATAACAGTTGTCCCACAAAACAGAGTGTGTCTCTTGTGTGTCTCTGGACTGTACAACTCCTCCCCCGTTCCTTTTACATCCACTGAAGGATTTGGCAAGTTAGTCTTTGTCACTGGAACACTTTCCCCTGTTAAGAAAACCAAATGTTAAAGGAAAGCTTAGAAATCAATGTCAAATACATACTGAACAAACAGTGAAATATTTTAAGTGTTAGCGTACTGTTTGTAATATTTAATAACTGCCCTATATATGGAGGACATGGTGTAACTCATGAGCTTTTGTCCATCAGTTGGTTCACTGACAAATACCAAGTGGTTTCGCACAGTAAGTCCAAAGTGATTGATTCGTGATTCATAAATAATGCGTAATGACCTTCAAAAAATTTCAAAGACCAAAGAACACATCCTTAAGAACAGAGCTGAAAAGTACTGTTACTTTAAGTAACCAGTGATGTCATGACATCTTTAATCACCACTAGACAGAAATACACAAATATAGACAGAAATATACCACCATAACAAAGAAAACTTGGGCAAGAGAAAGAAAAAGAATAGGTAGTATGTGGTTCTTTCTTTTTGTCCTTTAATTCTCAATAGCATTCTTCAAAACAGCCAGAATGTAGAAATTTGTTCGAGATTGTGTGTTTTAAGCCTCAATATACAGGAAACAATTTCTAGCCAGATTAAAATTTAAAAATTCACAATTTAAAAGGCAGAAAGATCTATTTCTAAATTGTGAATTTCCAGTAGTTACCTTAAAGTCTACTTCTTCCCAATTAAAGAACATAAAAAATCTTAACAAATAATGAAATTCACTGCAATCTCTATAGAAAAGGACTTCTCTCCTCTTCCCTTACTATCATACATTTTTCTATGTCCAAAGAGCGGCAAGAAACAGGCCCAGAAATATGGTTAGTACCAGAATAGTGACTTCGTTTTTTTTTTAGCTCAGAATGTAGTCTACTTGCACACGCAATCACTATCAAATACATTTATGAGTAAATGATAGAAATGGTATGATTTTTAAGAAGCTTAAACTACATAACATTAATACCATCATAAACAATAAGCAAGATACTGGTGATCCCATTTACCTGTTAGCATGCTTTCATTTACAATGCAAGTACCATTAATAAGCACTGCATCACAAGGCATGACTGTCCCATTTAATGGAATGATCATGACATCTCCAGGCACAAGGTCTGTAGAAAAGATTTCTTCTATTTCTGAATTTGAAAAAAAAAAAGAAGAAATTTAATTTGGAATAGAATTACAGCAAACAAACGACCTATCCAAAAGTCTCCTGCTCTCAGTAAGCTACTGATACAGTGTGTTAATACCTAAAGTGTAGCACATGAAGTCTCAACAAACATTAGCAATGCATCAAGACTGGAGAGATGACTCAGGGGTTAAGACACTTTTGCCAAGACACCTGAATGCAATTCCCAGCACCCACATGAAGGATTACAACAATCTGTAACTCCAGTTCTAGAGACACTGACAGCCTCTCCTGGCCTCCACAGGCACCAGGCATCAAAGTATGTCAGTTGACTTGTTTCCTAAAAACATGCTGACTAAGCACAGGTGATACAACATCCTCATCACACTTCCATGCTCTGGTCAATCTGTCATCTTAAAATACAAGCATAAGTCCACACAGGAAATTTGGCTGTAACAGGCAAAATGAATTCAGATTTCTAATATTACACAGCAACTAAAGAAAACATGAAAAATTTACCGTATTTTCTTTTCAAAGATATTTTAAATGCAATTATTTATGTCTTGCCTCTTCTCAATGTTTCAGTCTCTTAAATTATTAAAAAATATATCAATAAGAATTATTAAATATATAATAACACTTAATTCATTATTCCCTTGAAAATTTAAATCAGGCATTGAAATCCCAGCATTTGGAAGGCTGAAAAGCAAGAAGATCATGAATTTGAAGCCAGCCTGGCAAGAAGACCCTCTCTCAGGTCTCTAAAAACCTCCAAAAGCTGGGTGTGGTGGCTTTTCACTGAAAAAGTTCCAAAACTATTGTGCTGCCCTGCAGTTCTAGAGCTTGTAGCAGCAAGAGCAGAATTTCAAGATCATCTCCTCCGGTACATCAAAGTCTAGGCCAACCTGTGCTGCTATAATATAGAAACAACACACACACACACACACACACACAACTACTTTAAAAAGAATCCTACCAAAAATAAGAAGGCAGCGAGTGAGGGAGATTCTAGAGACAGAAGTGACCAGGAAGAAAGCAAGGAAGGAAGACTGCATGACTTGGAGACAGTCAAGAAAATGGAGCCTTTCGAAGGTAAAGCTCATACCTGTAATCCCAGCTACTTAGGAGGCCAGTGTTGCTAATTTAGCAACCCTAACTCAAAAGAAAGAGGGAGGGGCCTGGGGGGAGAGAAATGTGGAGAATATAAAAAAAAAGACTGATTTTAAATTCTGGAGAAATGAAAGTGGCTACTGCCTCCAAAGACCATGGCGTTATGCTATCCTTCACTTCAACATCTCAGACAGCTTATATGTCCTAAGCATTCTCCCCACAATCACTGCTTCCTTTTTACTTTGTCCCATGTAACAACACTACCCAACTGCATACATCTCTTGAGACTTCACTTTCAATTATCACATCTTGTTCAAGGCCCACATTTCAAACCCATATCCTTTCTTAACTCCACAACCCTGTTCTTGATCTGGGTGATGCCTTTAGTATTGTTCCTGAAAAACCACTCTAAACATGGGAGCCAGAATTAATCTTTTTTCTGAAAGACGAACAGGATGAAATCTGCTTAAAGTCATTTGGTAGCATCTCAGCCTTTGGAGGCATCCAAATTCCTTAAAACCCTTCATCTACTTTCAGCACACGACTTGCTGAATTCCAGATCTTAGAAGAATACAGTCTTAAATTCAGGCCTTTGGGTGCTCCTCTCCTCCTCATCTTAGACTCCTCACCAATTTTCTTTTCCTCGTTTTTTGAGACAGGGTTTCTTTATAGCTTTGGTTCCTGTCCTGGAACTAGCTCTTGCAGACCAGGCTGGCCTCGAACTCACAGAGATCCACTTGCTTCTGCCTCCTGAGTGCTGGGATTAAAGGCATGTGCACCACCATGGCTCAGTCCTCACCTGTCTTTAATTTGGCTTTCTTCGACTTTAAAAAACCCACCGTGAGTACCTAAGAGCACAGCAGTCTAGTGTTAAGAAGTCCCTGCTTTCATAGTACTCACCACACTTTGTTGTTTATCATGTCCTAGAGCTTAGCAAAGAGCCTCTACATTGTACAATGTTATATAAAGGAACGAACTGTCCACAAATCTGGGAATCTAAATGTGTTATTTTCAATTCTGAAGAAGGAAGAGAGGAAGGGAGAAGAAGAAATAATAGGGCTGGTAAGGTGGAAAAGAGTAAAGGTGCTTGTCACCAAGCCTAATGACCTTAGTTCAATCCCAGGACCCACATGGGAGAAAGAGCAGGGAGTGTCGTGGGTTGTCTTCTGATCTCCATACATGCCACTGTACATACATACAATTAAATAAATGCAATTTTAAAATATGTATAAACATATAAAAATGGTCTTACTTTACACAAGTATTTAATTACATGTTGTGTGTTCATTTACTCTTTCAACCCTCCTCTGATGTACTTACCTTCATTTACTCTACAAACTGAAACTCTCACGGTACTGTGAGTTGCCACCATATCATGTAACATAACATATTGCTGAAAGAAATAAACAATATACAAATCAAGATAAATAAAAGAAAGCTCAATTACTGTGATCATTTTTTACTATTCTGCCTATATAAAAGGTCAAAACTCATGGGATAGGGAGATGGCTCCATGGTTACTTGCTTGCTACTTCTGGTGGCTTGAATGAAATGGCCCCAAGTCCACACAGGGGCACTATTGGGAGGTGTGGCCTTTGGGGTTTCAAATGCTCAAGTCATGCCCAGTGTCACTCTCTCCTCCTGTTGCCTGTTGATCCAGATGTAGAACTCTCAGCTACCTATTACTATGCCTGCCTACATACCATCGTGCTTCCTGCCATGACAATGAACTAAACTGCTTAACTGTAAGTCAGCCCCAACTAAATGTTTTCCTTTATAAGAGTTGCCGTGGTCATGGTGTGTCTTCACAGCAATAGAAACCCTAACGAAGACACTACTCAAGTTCAGTTCTGAGCACCCATGTGAAAGCTAAATGGGCATGGCAGCCTACCTATAATTTCAGCACTCAAAAGGCAAAGACAGAGGATTCCTAGAGCAACCTGGTTAGCTGAACTAGTTCAGTAAGTGAGCTCTGGGTTCAACTGAAGCCATGCCTCAATGAGTAGGGCAGAAAACAATCCAAGAAGATACCCAGGATCAAAATGAGGCCGCCAAGCACAACTGCACTCACTTATATGTAAACATATCCATGCACAGACCCAAGTTAGAAATTCAAGAATTACTATTTTAGCTCAAAGATAAACTTTAAATGAGGCAGTCTTGAAAACATAGGAATTATCTTGTCAACACTTCAATCTTTAATAAGCAAATATAGACACCTATAGCTTCTGAGTGATCATGTGATAATTTGATTCTAAAAACATCTAAGAGTGTAGCTTTGTGAGCATATGCAGTCTTAAATTCAAACTCTAGTACCACAAAAACAATAAAGTATTTGATTCTCCCCTCTGGCCCAAAGGAAAGAGGGAAAAAAAAGGAAAAAAGCCAGAGCTGAAGAGATGGCTCGATGATTGATTAAGAGCTCGATCAACTCTGATAGAAGACCCAGGTTTATTCACAGCACCCACACAGTGGCTCACAATCATCTGTAACTCTAGTCCCAGAGGATCCAATAATCTCCTCGGGCCTTTGCAGGCACCAGACACTTGAGGTGCACTGACATAAAAGAAGACAAAAGAACAGTACACACACACACACACACACACACACAAATAATATGTCCAAGACCAAGCGTAAAGTATAAAGACTGGATAAAGGCTACCCTAGTTACCGAAAGGGTCTGCAAGAAGCCCATAAAAGACCACCAGTTACGTATGCAATAAGCAAGAACGTTTATATATAAAAAACTGCGAACATTTTGGGGTGGCACATAGCGACCACCCAAGAGGTTCGGAAGGCCCCTTTTTATGACGGATTAGGGGAATTCCCTGGAGGAGAAATTAATCTGGGGGTGCTGATTGTACTGTAGGTGGCTCTAGTGGTTAGGGACGTTTTAGCAGCAGGGTAGAGAAAGCTATCTTTAGCTATAAAGAAGCTATGGTCATGTGCTAAGCCAACAAAAGGCTGTGGAGCACCTGCTAATTGGTTGCCCCTGAGTTGTAGTTTTCTGGAGAATTCCTTGCTCAGCTCCAGTCACCTTCAGTAAATCAAAACACGTCCCTGCCGGGGACTATTAGAAACCTGTCATGGCTTTGGTCTGGCTCCCTGGCCCTCTTAGCTATCTTGTCTAAATGAACAAACAAACAAAAAAAAAAGGAGGCCGGGCGATGGTGGCGCACGCCTTTAATCCCAGCACTCGGGAGGCAGAGGCAGGCGGATCTCTGTGAGTTTGAGGCCAGCCTGGTCTACAAGAGCTAGTTCCAGGACAGGATCCAAAACTACAGAGAAACCCTGTCTCGAAAAAACCAAAAAAAAAAACCAAAAAAAAAAAAAAAAGGAAGTTTGTATGTGTACTTATGGAAATATTACGTTAAATGTATTCTATACCAAGTACTATGCATTCTAAAAAACTTACAAGTTACCACAGAATGCAAATATACTACTGAAAAATGTAAGAAATTCTGACTTACCTTCCTAATGGAATATAGTGAGCTTATAATGGATACTATGGACATGATCACAATGGCTAGAGCATAATAATAGTATTCATCAATGCTCCACAGGATAACACTGAACAGCTGGAAAATGTAAAATGGGTTGAGAACCTAGAAACAACAAAAAGGATACATCAGTAGGCATAAATAGGATAACAATATGTATAAACATATAGACTCTTTACCTCTTCACCATTTCACCAGAGATGTAGACAACCAGATACTTATAGAATGGGCTCTGTATTCTTGCTTCCCATTAAATAATAAAAATTGAGTCAATAAGCTTAAATTATTTGCATTCATTTAGATTCATACCAAAGGCAAATACAGATTCAATTAGAAAAAGTTAACCTGTATGAATTTAGCTATTCTGCATTATACTTTTGGTTAAAGCTAATTTATTTGTAATAAATTTTGTGCTCTGGGCTAAAACAAAACTTTTAATCAAACAGAACAAATGTTTGCTTTTAATGAACTCCAAAGAGAAATTTACTTATATTTCAAAAGTTCACTGACAGACAAAGAGAAGATAAATATGTGATAACGGAGAAACTGCTTTGTTATCTCAAAGGAAACTTCTTGGTATTTATTCTCAAATAAAAGTAAGACTACAAAGCCCTGGTAGTGAACTTTATAAAATAGTATTTCATCTCCCTTAATTCCCTCCCAATGTCTTTTATAACTGCTGCTTTGTACCTTTCTAAGCACTTTCATGTATGTAGTACCATTTTACTTCAAACGTAAATTAAATATTAAGAAATTATTCCAACTTTATCCATAAACAAGTAGCAGGTAGAAATGTTTTCAAGATAAAAATCAAAGACAGCTACCAATAAGATACTCTCAAAGATCTGCCTGCCTCTGCCTCCCAAGTGCTGGGATTAATGGTGTGCACCACCACCATCAGGAACTTTTTTCTTTTTGGTCCTACATTTTTCAGTCAGTACACTAAACTATTTTTGCAAGCTGCATCAATGGCTACTCATATTTCTAGTAAAGTATTCATCTAAAGCCAAAAACCAGAACAAAAGACTGGCAAGCCTTCCTGGGCTAGGCAGTTATTCACTAACTTCTTTTACATAGTCATAATCCTTTATTCACACAGTCAAGGCAGTTATAAACGAACCCTCACTACAAGAACTAACACTGTTCCTGTTCCTTTCATTTCCAATACGACACCACATGAAATGAGAAAAGGACCAAAGAGAATGAGAAGCTATATTAGATGTGATAGAAACACACACACACAAAGAAATCTGTAGTAAAAATGCAAAATTATATACATTATAAATACTCTTCTACCAGACAACAAGTTTTCCATCTTAACGTTCCAAGTAAAATATGAAGCAAAGTTAAGCAGAAAACCAAGACTGTATCCTTACACGTGACTCTCCCCAGTTGACGGGAACACATACTATTAGTTACACAGAGTCTTACCTCTTTAATTAGAAGCTTAAAAACAGAAGGCACTTTCACAGCAATTTCATTTACTCCATAAATCAACTTTCTATGACAGAAAAATACGGTAACTGTATTAGTAAATGATTTAGGAAAAGAATTATGTATAAGTAAGGCCAATTGTTCTTATGATTCTTGCTTTTAAAACCTTATGTTCCATGACTAAAGTTCTCTACTTTAAAAAATAAAAAATAACTCCTGTGTAGTTCTGGCACCACCTTTAATCCCAGCACTTGGGAAGCAGAGGTACACAGATCTCTGTGAGTTCGAGGCCAGCCTGGTCTACAGAGCAAGTTCCAAGACAGCCAGGAACACATAGACCAACCCTGTCTTGAAAACAAAAAACAAAACAAATAAAATTTAAAAAGCTATCTATGCTATTTAAACCAAAGCAGTCGATACTGGTAACCAAACTTTTAACAGTTTACATCATTTTGAGTCTCATTTTTACTATGACAAGAACCTTTCTTATTAGTCAATCATGTAAGTAAAAGACTCATTTCGTTATGTCTAAGCTGTGCTGAAAATTACTACATAGATCAGGCTGCCTTCAAACTCATCGAAATCCTTCTGTCTCAACTTCCCAAATCCTGAGACTAAAGGTGTAAGCCACGACAACTGACTAAAGTTCTCTTCTTGACAGACAATTTTTTGAAAGATTTATTTTTATTTCATATGCATTTTGCCTACCCATGTCTATGCATCACATGCATGCAATATCCACGGAGGCCAGGGGAGCACATTGGATCCTCTGGAACTGGGATTACAGACAATTAGTTGTAAGCTGCCACGTAGGTGCTAGGAAAATCCATGTCCTCTGGGAGAGCAAGTGCTCTTAACCACTAAGACATCTTCTCTAGTCCCCAAACAGAGCAAACTGTATTGAGATTTAAATTACGAATTTTATAAGAAATTAAATTCTTTGAAGAATCTTACTCTACTTTTTTTCCCTAGGGAGACTATTTTACTAACAAAGTTCATTTCAAAACACTGCACCCTTGAAATCCTTCAGAAAAACACTTTCTTAAAGTTGCTTAGTGACAGGGGATGCTGCTGCTCCACTATCAGAGCCGCTGCCATTCATGCATAAGACCCTGGCTTCAATTCCAAAGGACGGCATAAACTAAGCATGATGTGGTACTTCCCGGGAAGCCCACCACTTGGGAAGCAAATGTAACACCAGGAGTACAAAGACATCCATCCTTGACTACATACTGTGTGAAGTCAGGCTTAACTATGAGGCCTTGTCATTTTTTAAAAAATAAATAAATAAAAGCCCCCCCCTCCATAAAATCCGGGGAGGTAGGGGGTGCGTGCCTCAGTGTAGACTGTAGCTTGAGTAAGGCTGTAAATTCTACCCGATCCCTCATCCCTCTAAAACCCACAGGTTCTTCATTTTAATCTCCTGTAATGATTTGTATGCTATTATAATTATAGCCTTTTATAAAATGTTAAGTCTGAATTTTTTGTTCAAACATTGAAAAACACATTACAATAAAAATTCCAATTCAATCCAAAAACTACATTTATCTTTAAAATATGTAATACACTGGCATTATTTTTATACTTTAACCAATAACACACAAAAAAGCATGGCTCCAGTTTATAGTTTCCTGGTGGGAAATCCAAGCTCATGCTTACACTTCCCATATCAGAAAATCTAAGGTGCTGCTAATTTACAGAACACTCCATTATAATATGCGTGACTGAAGATGGCACTCCACACACTAAACAACATTCCAATTTCAGAGACAAGAAAATATGAGTTTTGCATCTTTAAAGAATTGATGAATAAAACTTTAGGATAGTTAACTTTAGCTTAATATTCTTATAATTCTTAAACTAAAGGAGTTTTGCTCAAAATATCAGTAAGGGCACAACTAACAGCATGTTTTGCTTAAGTACCTACATTATACGGTACAGGGTTGGCTATATATACACTTCTGAATTTAGGAATTTTGAGAACAGATCTACTTTAGTTGGATAAAGTTACCTGTAGGCATGCATCCCTTTTGTCAGTCCTGCACTATGCTTTTCATAAATTGATGTACAAGAAACACCTTCATCCAGTCCCCTAAATAAATCCAAAGTTTTTACTTTAAACAAAGTTTAAAATATCCATATTAATGCCTCATTTTGCTATATGTGTGATTTTAAAACTGTAACTTCCTTACAAACTTCTTAGAAATTCTTAACAACAAAATTAGAAATCATGAGAATTTTAAGATCTCAAAGTCTTAAATAAAACAATGAATTGGTATAAGTCTCAAACACAGCTATGTTATCCACTGTATGTCATGGATCTAAATAATACTATGTAAGTAAATATACATTATCCTTTAACAGTTTTCAAAGATTATGAGTCAGCAATAAAACTAGTAAAACTTCAGATAAAGTATAACTAGTGAGAATTCTAAACAAGACTTGGTTTTTATCCTGTTTCTCCTTTATATTTTTAGTTTTAAATGAAGAACTCCAATATAAATACTTTCCTGAACTACTACTACATATCTCCTTTCAAATATAGACCATAAATGTCTAAAACCTAGAACAATCCTAACTAGGATGTTTTCCCCCAAAAAAACATAATTTTACTTATTTTAACTGTTACCAGTAAAACATTTCTAAACCAAGAGAATTAAACATATTAATCTCTTTATTCTCTACATTTTACATACAGGAAAGCTAAGCTCTACAATTTGTTGATGTCATTAGGGTAAGTTTAAATTTTACAAATTTCAATGGCTGGCAGAGACCAAACAATTATATTAGACATTCTTCCATCAGAGCTGATGACTTCTCCAGAATGCAATTCAAAGACAGACTAGCAGTTCAGTGTTTAACAAGACTGCAGGACATTGGCATCTGACATCAGCATTTTTCCTTAAAGTGATGGTTCTTCAACTTTAGAACCAGGCATGAGAAAACCATCAGGCCCATTACAGAACAATCTAATTCTTTAGTATTTCAGGTAAAATTTCCAGGTATTATCTTAAGTATTCTTGATCCTTTTTTTATACACACAAAACAAAATAAGGGATTATTCCAATTTGTCCTATCAAAGGTAACACAGTTACAAGTGTTCTTTCTCATTAGTAAAGTTTTCTAAGTAAGTATTCCATGATTCTCTGATTACAATGAACGAGACTAACAACATAGGAAAGGTAAAGCTCTAGGGTTGGGGAGAGGGGCTCGGTGGTACAGTCACTCACTGCTTATTAGCAGGTGTGAGTCCCAGATTCAATCCTAAGCCCAGTGCACACTCAAAACAAAGTAAAATAACAAGAAAAAACAAGTAGAAAACCTAAGCTGTGACGTATTCTAAAATTCTTCACGCCCCTCAGCCTCCCTGACAGCATGTTCCATAGGCAAGCACGAGCTTTCTAAATTTTATGTAAATTTTTCAAAGGTACAAGTTGCAGGTGAAACTCACTTTATAAGTGAATAAAGGTAATAGAATAAGTCTCTCTGAATTTATGTAACATTAGAATACAGCTTTTTTAAATGCATTTTCAAGATGTTCATAATATATTCTAAGCAAAAGAAAAATACTTACTTTAAGAAATCAAAATTGTGAATGGTATCATTCCAGAAATATTTTATGCTATGGTGGGTGAAATAACGCATCTGTAGAACACACATAAATATTATATCACAAGGCTTATCATCACTTCTCATAACATGTCATTTTTTTTCTATTAAACTCAGTTTTATTTAATGGCAAATATTTTACAATGCATCTAATTTTAGCTCACATATAATTTTGCAAATTATGATCTACCTTTGATAATGTAGAACATTATGGTTTTTCAAAAAAGCTTTGATACTCCATCACAGTACCTGTTGGGACTGAGTCTGTGAGTATTTATTCATCTCGCATCTATTTTCTTCAGTCAGATTCTCAGTTAAATGAACAGCATGGCCATTAGAAACATTATTAACTACAGATTTTGCATTAAAATTTGGTTGATTTTCCAGAGGAAGAAAGCGAATTTTTGCACAAAACCACATTCTAAATTCATCCTTAGAAGAAAGGGAGAAAGGTTAAAAGTAAGTTATGCACATTAAATAACAGCCTGTACTTTTATGTAGTCTATTACTTAAAAATTTAGTCATCTCTTTCTGAGAGAGTATCATTTCCTACTCACTTAACATGAAAAATTTATGATCAACTTTAGCACACCATCAGTACACAGATTCCATAAAAGTTCAAAATTCAAGCCTTAATTTACTCACATATATAATAAACATTAACTATTACAGCCTCTTATAAAATGTTTTAAACTAGGATTCTAAAAAAAATTGTTTAAGACATAACATCATACAGTCAAACCTGGCCTAGTCAATGAGTGGTCAGTACTCAGGACCTTAAAAGACAATTAAGCATCTAATAATCCCCCGGGTCACAAAGAACTGTAAGATAGCCTCATCCTATTTAAGACTTATCACCACAAAAATATTCATTTCAAAGTCATATCTGAGAAATACTAAGCATTCCAAAGTCCCAGTCACTTATTCTGAACAGTTTACACAAAGACATTATTGAATAATCAACCAGCTACTAGTAATACATGCATGGACTTACAGTAGTCCTGAGCAGCACCACTTCACAGTCTTTAACTGCAGCTCTAACGCATGTGGCTTTCACTCGCCACTCAGGCATCCAATAGAGGAGGAGGAGGAGAAAACCACCAGTACAAATCACTCCTATGGAAACCATGGCAAGCTTCCAGTGGCATAAGTTATAGCCATGTATCTCCTGAACAAAAATGGCAAACACAAGATTAATGAGCAAATGATAAGAGATAAACTTATTTCCAAGATATGTATTTTTTTAATATTTATTTATTTATTTATTATGTATGCAATATTCTGTCTGTGTGTATGTCTGCAGGCCAGAAGAGGGCACCAGACCTCATTACAGATGGTTGTGAGCCATCATGTGGTTGCTGGGAATTGGAGAGATGGCTCAGTGGTCAAGATATGTATTTTTATATAAACTTTATTTTCTCAACTGATTATTTATCTGTTATTTTCAGTAAAACTTACTGAAAATTTCAGATTTAAGAGTAAAATTTGTTGAACATGATCTATATTTATCTCTAATAAAGTATTTGCTACTAATTCAACTGTGTGTGTATGATTAATGAGAAAATAAGGCAGATAAACTTGTTTCAAAGATACATAGCAAATCATATATTTTATGTGTAGGAATGTTTTGCCCATGTGACTGTAAACCATGTGTGTGCAGTGCCCTCGGACCAGAAGGGGCTCTGGATGCCCACTGGAAGTGGCATTACAAATGGATCCAAGTCTCCATGTGGATACAGAGAACCAAACCTGGGGTCGTCTAGAAGACTAGCCAGTGCTCTCAACCACAAAGCAAGCTCTTCAGTCCCATTCCTTGTAACTTTTATCATTTCACTTAAAACTTTTTTTTTTTTTTTTTTTTTTTTTTTTGGTTTTTTTTCGAGACAGGGTTTCTCTGTGGTTTTGGAGCCTGTCCTGGAACTAGCTCTTGTAGACCAGGCTGGTCTCGAACTCACAGAGATCCGCCTGCCTCTGCCTCCCGAGTGCTGGGATTAAAGGCGTGCGCCACCACCGTTTGTTTTGCAACCATTTCAGACTTACAGAAAACTGTAAAAATATCAGTATTTCTTCTAGATCCTTCAAGCCAGTTTCCTCTGTCAAAACCACAGTGTTCCATTACTGTCAACTACACTCGGTATCAGGATTTCACCAGTCTTTTTTACTTCCGTCATATTTTATGACACTACATTCACTGACTAATTGAGATGAGGATCTCAGATTGTTGAAATGGCTCAGACATTAAAAGTGCTGGCTATGACACAGGGTCTCACACTGATAAGTGATGTACCCAAGGCTGGCCTCCAACTTATGATCCTCCTGCCTCTATGCCCTGCATCCAGGATTACAAAGCATGTATTACTATGCCAGGCACATTACACTTAGATGATTTTTTTAAAAGTAACTTGCTAACTGTTTCAATACCACTGTAACTGATCAACTTTACTAACCCAAATTATTTTTAAATATTCTTGAATTCCCACCCACAGTGGTTGCCAAATAAAACACCTCAAACTGACAAAGGCTTCATGAAGTATACATGTCAAGTAAGCAGTGGAAATTTGTTTATCTGATGGCAGCGAGATATACTAAAACTTATTCCTTAACATGGTGGTGATACATGCCTATAATCTCAGCACTTGGGAGACTAACTCAGGAGAGGTTACTTGGGGAGCCTGCAAGATGTATCAGAACAAATGTTCTTGCCATGCATGCCTGCTGACTTGAACTCAATCCCTAAAGCCCAGAAAACTCCTGAAAGTCGTCTTCTGACCTCCACCACATGCACCCCAAGGCACACACGTACTTAATGTACACACAAAAATAATAAAGCATACATTTTTAAAATTTTAAAAATAAACAAATCAGGTGGCAGCGGCACATCCCTTTAACCCCAAGACTTGGGAGGCAGAGGCAGGTGGATCTCTGAGGCTGCCTGGTCTATCATGAGTTCCAGGACAGTCAGGGCTACAGAGGAAACCCTGTCTCATAAAACAAAAACAAATAATAATAAACAGCAACAAAAACAACCACTTCAATTAAAACACTCAAGTCAAACCAGGTAAAAAGGCAAGTGCCTTTGATCCGTGGACTTGAAAGGCACATGCAGGTAGAACTCATGAAACTGGCTTGGTCTATAAAGTTAAATTTCAGTTCAACCAGGGCTTCATGGTGACTTTGCCTAAAACAAACAAAATATGCGTGCAGAAGCGCGCGCGCACACACACACACACATACACACAATCAGGATACAAAAATTCATATGCATGTGTCATGGATAGGCGTTTCACTAGGGATCAAACCAAGAGCCTCAGAACATTAGATGGACAAACACTCTACCACTAGGTTGTACCCCAACCCATGTTGGTTTTCCTTTCATTTTATCTTTTTACTCCTTAGGAAATTATGAAAGATAGTTACCATTTCATCTTCTTGACCCTTATTGATAGTCTTCCTTTCTTCTTTGTCCATTTCTACAGGCTTGATAGGTGCTGTGCTTCACACAACAGGTGAAGATAACTGCAAGAACAAAAGAAACAAATGTTGCCTTTCTTTAAAAACAGATCTTGGCTGCCCACCAAAACTAGATGGTAAAACCCCACTGCTGATGACACCACACACTGAGAAATCAAGTTGTAACTCAGTTATAAACTGTCTCCCTGTGGAGAACTTTCCTAGCACCAGAAGGTGCTACTGGAGAGAAGTTATCAACAGTCTTACCCAGATATGGATTTTGTTCACTACAATACCAACCTGTCAGGCAAAACATCCTCATGGGTACAACAGGGTCATGACTATTATGTACAAAACTAACTACTTTGTGATCGTATTTGGGGCCCATTCCACAGGAAGAAAATCATGCTTTGACATGTAACCTGAGTCTCAGGCCCTAGGGGGAACCTATTATTCTTGCTTTGTCCAAACTACCTTCCACATAGTTATGTTTATACCCACAGACTATTGCTGCTCTCAATCTTGGACAGAGATACATCTTTTTGCAGTTAATAGACTCATAACTGGTAGAATAAGTAACTGTTGAAAGCTCAACCCTAAACACCCCATCTGTATCACTCTCTTCAAGGCTCACATCATTGTAAATAGCAAGGGAAAAAAATAACCCAAAGATGGGGGAAAACACTGTGCAACGCCGTCCTCTACACATAACAGCCGCACTAACTCACAGCAGCAAATATGGCCATCATCATTCCATCATGGACAGAGAAGGGGCTCACAGGACCTGAGCATTAGCTTGGGGAGGAGGGCAAATTTCTTCAGTGGAATAGTCACTAGTAAGTTATCCTATAACCATAATTAAACTGAATAATACCAAAATCAAAAACAGAACATAAAAAAAATTTTTTAAAGCTTGTTGAGAAAAAGTGTTCTGTGGAAGTGGGAGAAGAAGAAGAGGCAGGAGGATGGGTATGTCAAAACATACTATATGAAATGAATGAAAATATCAAAGAATGATTTATCTTTAAAAATGTTAATAATACCAGGTATGGTAGCTCACAACTTTAATCCCAGCCCAGCATTTGAAAGAAGAATATCTGTGCATTCAAGGCCAATCTGGCTTACATAGTAAACTCCAGGCCAGCCGAGTTGCAAAACAGTAAGATCTTGTCTCAACAACAAACTTTGTTGTGTTTTTGAGACAGGGTTTCTCCGTGTAGTCCTCGCCTCCCAGGGCTTGCGCTGTAGACCAGGATGACCTCAAACTCAAGAGATTCAACTGATTCTGCCTCCTGAGTACTGGGATTAAAGGTGTGCACCACCACCACTTGGCCAAACTTTCTTGGCAATAAAAATGGTGGTGTCTCGAAAAAACAAAAACAAAACAAAACAAAACAAAAAAAAATGGTGGTGTTTTGCAAATGTCTTTAATGATCTCTCCCCTATCCCTTTCTTAGTAATCTGTCCATTAACTCAATTTTCACCCCAGACAAGTTTCATAGAGAGTAGAAAACAATCAGAGAGGATTGCTCAGTGTACCTGGTATCTATCAGACAAGGCTGGTTCAGTGTTATCCTAATAAAATTTTGGCTAGGAATTACTATTAAGTATGTAACACATTCAATAAGTATTTGTTAGGTACAGTAATCCTTTAAAACACAGACCGGGGGTACACACCTGTAATCCCAGCACTCAGAATTAACTGGAGTCTGAGGCTAGTCTAAGCTACTTAACCTTGATGAGATTCTTTTTTTTTTAATATACATTATTTTATTACAAATTTAAAAAAAAAAATAACAAGAGAAAATGCAACATCCTAAAAAAAAAAATTACTGGCAATACAAATTCCTATGTATGTTTGCTGTGCTACCATAAGAAATTAAAGAAACCATTAAATATTTAGGAACATTCAACATCAAAAGCTTTAACTCTAACTGTATGTTGTAGCCCCCCAAAAAGCTACAAACTCCTTTTTTAAAAAAGTATTTTCTCTACAAAGAATCTCATCAGCTATACAAAAATCTGTACAGTTTTTATACTGAAGCTAATGTTGAGCTGCACTTGAATTTCACATTCTTAGCAAAATAAGTAGCCTGAGCACATACACTCCACACATTTTAGGACAGCCATTTATTCTTCATCCTCATCTTCCTCATCATCTTCATCTTCTTCTTCCTCCTCCTCCTCTTCCTCATCTTCTGGTTCATTCTTCTTCTTTGAGCCTGTTGGCCTACCAGGACCCTTCTTTCCTACTTCACTTTTGCCCTTGGCACGGAATGCAGCAATATCCTTTTCATATTTCTCCTTTAGTTTAGCCGCCTTCTGCTCATAGGGTTGTTCATCTTTGGCAGACTGTTCAGACCACATCTCACCCAATTTTTTTGCAGTATCTCCAATAGACAGGCCTGGGTGTTCACTTTTGATCTTTGGGCGATGTTCAGAGCAAAACAGGAAGAAGGCAGACGGTGGTCTCTTTGGAGCATTAGGATCCTTTTTCTTTCCTTTCTTATCACCTTTGGGAGGAACGTAATTCTTCATCTCCCTGTCATAGCGAGCTTTGTCGCTCTTGGCCAAATCTTCGAACTTCGATTTTTCCTTTGCAGACATGGTCTTCCATCTCTAGGAGCACTTCTTGGAGAACTCGGCGAAGTTGACCGACGAGTCGGGGTGCTTCTTCTTGTGCTCCTCGCGGCACGTCTGCACGAAGAAGGCGTATGAGGACATCTTGCCCCGCGGCTTGTTGGGGTCTCCCTTGCCCATCGCTGACGGTGGCTGCGCGGCGTCTACCTGGCGCGAGCGCGTCCCTCCGAGGTCGACACGAACACTTCCTTCCCCAAGCTCCGGCGAGAACTGGCTCCTCCCCTTGATGAGATTCTTCCTCTCCCTACCTAACACACTTCCAAAAAAAGGCTGTGAGGTTGGTTTTCTAGCTGGTGCTTGTTGTTTTACTGTAATTCAATTCCGTTCCATGAAGTAGTTTAGCTCAAGGTAGATGAATAAGACTACCTATCCTAAAGCTGGAGGATGAAAAAAAGAACTCAGATTGTTATATATCAAAGCTGCAGCAGGTATGGATTAATGAAGCATACTGTTCAGGTTGTAAATAGCGGTGAGTCAAAAACTGGCATATTATTGTGACTGCAGAACCTGCAAGTACTATTTCTGAGGAGCTGGAGAACCTGCCTAGGGTTCTTAGATAACTAAGTATTCTCCCGATGAGCTGTATCTGTATTCCCCAGAAGACTTCCAGTGAGTTCAACCAACCAGGGAGCAAATATATTTGAGAAGAGGAAGCACTTGTACTCGACATGTGCACTTTTTTACTGTCATGAATAGCAAAAGAACATGCATGGGTTAAGTGCAAATAGTATACCACATTGCATAAAAAATTAAATACCTCAGACTTTAGTATCTGGCAAATCCTGGCATCAGTCCTCACAAATATCAATGGCCAGTTACATATAAATTATCAGTTCTAAATCTCTTCTCTGGCTGGCCTGGAAATCACTATATAGGCCAGTTTGGCCTTGAATTAACTCAGATCTTCCTGAGTGCTGGAATTAAAGGCATTTGGCACCACTGGGACAGTTCTAACTTATAATACAGTATTAATACATAAACCCCTGCACACGGACAATAATTATAAAATCATACAGGAGAGACTAAATCTAAAAAGTCTGAGTTACTGCTTTAAAACAAGGGTAGAGAGCTGGTGGGATGGCCTCACCACACAAGCCCCATGACCTAAAATTTGACACTGTGAATCCACAACGGAAAGGTAAGAGTACTGTGGGAGGGGGGGTGTACACGCTCACAGGCACGTAAACAAAACAAACAAAAACAAGCAGGGTTTGTCTCTGCAGAACACAGTGCAACACTATCATCTCACTCAATTTAGACTTCATAACTAGTATACATCAGATCTGGCACATAGCAGACAATCAAAAAACACTTGTTTGACCGTTACTGTTTGACAAAGATATTTCTGTTAAGACAGCAATAATTTTTAAATGACAAAGAATTTTAGACTACTCTCTATATAGAAATGTTTAAAATCCATTTACCAATCAAAACAAAATATTAAACCGAATGTCACTGCAGAAATGCAGTAGTTTTAAAAGTATCTAGTCCAGCTTCTCCAAAACAAGTCATGCTACCATCTAAAATCCTTTGGACAATTTAGGAATATCTTCTCAGTCTATGGCAGTACTTCGGCACTAAAGCATACTTAACAGTCATCCCAATACCATAACAATCCATCAAATCAACGATTTGACATGGTAGTTATTCAAGGGCTGGCTATCTAGAAACAATTAAGCAAGCCCAGCATTGTTCCCTGTGATAAAGATCAGTAGTCAGTGCCTGAACTTGTAGCATAAGGCCAGTCCTGCTTTTGTCTTCAAAGGTAAGTCTCCACTAAAGAATACTGGACTAAACTGGGGTTCATTAAGCTCAGCACCACTAAGGATTTATTGGTAATAATTTCTGATAACCAATTTTAGTTATTTCCTATCACCACATTTACATAAAGAAACTACTTCTAGTCTTTAAATTTAAATTTTTATTATTATTGTGTTTGTGTAAGTGCAAGTGGGTATTCCACAAAGTGTGTGGAGGTCAGAGGACAACAAAGTCAGTTCTCACCCTCTCTCCAGTGCCGGATATTGAACTCAGGTGTCATCAGACTTGTGAAATAAGCACTTTTACCCACTGAGCCATCTCACCAGCCCCTGCTTCCAGTTTTTATAATCTTCAGTTTCAAATAGTGATCAGATTTACCCCCTGTCTAAAACAGAAACAAAATGCATAATGATTTAAAGAATGAACATCAGGCAATGAAGGAAACTGGTAACTGAGCACTGTGAAGCTAACACAGCATGCTCTACACTTGCTCCAGTTCACTGAACAGATCAGGAAACTCAACTGGGTCCAGCAATCCCTAAGCTTCTAAGGCTGGGAGTCAAGAGAAACACAAAGAGCAACCCTGGGTAAGGCTGACCCACCTATAAAGCTAGAAGCTGGAAAGTGGAGACTGAGGATCAAAGTTCAAGGTCAGCCTCAGTTAC